ATTCTATAAAAACACTTTACCTTATGGTGTATTTCAGAAGTGTCAGTAAAGTAACAGACGTATTTATATAACTTAGCAGAATGTTATGCAAAGAAGATTAATAGAACACGCCGGTGTTTAGGCTAGGTAAATAAAATACGAGTGATTTTATTCCATCTGTGTGTAGCATAGATCTTATTAATATTCGGGATAAAAGATGTATGCTAATTAATTATACATATCAACCTAGAGTTGTCATTTCACAAAATAAATATGGCTAGAGATTTATTCTTAACGCCTCAAAGCACGGACTAAGCTGATGTACGATGAAAGCCGACGAAGTCAGACAATTCCATGACACACACCACACACACCTGCTCTCTAGCATTGTAGGTTACGTTCCGTTTTCGAACCTAATAGTCCGTGGATCAGGTGAAGTAGAGTTTACCTGTTCTATTACCTCGGCATAAGAAGGTCTAGTGTTTTTACCACAATACCCTCTCGAGCATAGTGTCCACATCGAAATTCAACACACCCAAGTGACGAAACATTATTCTAACGATGAACAATAACGTTACTTCTAAAACAGTTTTCTTTCATAACATGTAATACAGAAAATGGGTGTGTATGGAGGACTAATGCGGAGGATGGTTATACACATGTTGATGGTATGTGCTTTAAATAAGTTTAAAAGAAAGTCAAATATAAACCGCTTCTTCATTTTTCATTTTATTATTTCAGCTTGAAACATGCAGAAGAATGATAAGTTTACCATTTAATTTAGAATAATGCGTTTAACATATACTTTAGAATAATACGTTTCCCACATACTTTCATATTGAACATACATTTTTATGTCTGAATCGACATCAGGACATTTATATTAAAAAAAACAAAGCTTCTGTAATGTTTAAAAACAAGTATCATCGAAATTTAACCAGAATCCACAAATTCGAGTTATTAATAACAATCTGTATTGTAGTGTAGTAATCAATAAAACATGTAGAATAGAAAAGATGAAACGCAAAATCTAGAAATAAACCATGAAAAGCACAATCCCTAATATCAAGAAAACAATTATTATTTTAGTGTCACTGGCCTCGAAGGCATGCCCATAACCAGTAAAATTGGAATGTCATGTATCAAAATAATATAAAAAAAACTTTGAACATAATAACATGTATTACACATTAAAATAAGATAATAATGCATTAATGTTTAAAACTTTAAAATCTTGTTAGAGAAAAAAAATATTTTTATAGCATTGCTTGTTACATGTAGATTAACATAAAAGAATCACCACAAACACAAGACATAAAAAAATAATGTATCCGTAATGAAAGAAGCAGTGAATTGTTTATCAAACATTGGTAATAAGGTTACAAAAAGTCTCACGTAATTTAGAAATTCGGATCATTAATGAATATCAATCCAACACAAAAATCTAAATTAAATTACTATTGACTCAATTACAGTTATGTAATTAATAATCATTATAGTGATAATTCATACTACAGATAGTATCAATACTTATTCATAAACAATTCATAGCTTAATTTTGAGCAGTATGCTGAGTAATAAAATAAAAAAAATATATAAAAAGCTAACTCCGCATGGTAGGATACTTGTAGTCCAACTAGTGCGTTATTTCTACCATAAGTTCCATATATATTTCCATATGCATTCTAATATCTCAATCTCCGTAAAAAACAGTCGTGTTTTTCATGTTTTATGGAATAATTTAAAACTGGGTTAAAGAGTTCACGTAGGAGTTTAAACTCAACCTACTGAACAACAAGTTTTTCTTTTATTGCAGTGATAATCATTCCTTTACTTAAGTACAGTTTCATTCTAAGACTAAAATAATTAATTCGCGCAATACTTTAGTTGCATAATGTTTAGTTTAAAATAATGATTAAAAATCAATTTCTGATATATCGTTTGCATCAATGCAGTTGTAGAAAAGTAATGTGGTCATAGCAGATGGACATTATATATATATATATATATATATATATATATATATATATATATATATATATATATATATATATATATATATATAATATAAGCGGGCTGTGTCTGTCCTTCCTTCCTTCCGTCCGTCCGTCCGTCCGTCATCGCTATAGATTTTGGGACTATAAAAGTAAACTACGCACCATGCTGTGCTTTTCAGTGCACCGCAGTGTCTTATTATAAGTATTAGAGTAGGGTTTGTTTATATAGCGGCATAGAGCTATTTTATAATTTCCACTGTTTGTACAATTTTGCATAACGTAAAGAGAATATTAAATACACGCACATTGCTAAAACATATTAAAAGGATCAATGTCAAATATAGTTTTCGTTAATATTCCTAGAAAAAGTGGATACATTTTAATAACATAATAACTGTAGGTTAGAAAAATCAAATGAATTTAACTCTTTTCTAATTTTGACAAAGGAGGTAATTTAAAAATACATTAAACTCACGCTAATAAAAAATGTGAAAGCAAATATACGTTCGTCATAGAAGGAAATAGTGTTGCAATAATATAATTAGCAAAATGTGAATGCAAATTATGTGGATGTGTAAGAGGAAATTATTGTTAGAAAATTATAATTAGCATGGATTGATAAAAGGCAATCTTTTATTTATTTTATTCACTGAATGTATAGGCCCTTCTGTTTATTACTTATAATTTTTAATCAACTATTCAGCACTATTATAGACGCGTCATCACGTTCATTAGGTGCGCAATGGTTTTAGTTATGAAACTTTATTGTAAATTTTTAAAATTTAAAGTACTGGAAAAAAAATGCGTGAATGGATAAAGTGAAATATTGTAGGTAAAACACGGATATTTTAAATACTGCCTATTATTTATACTGTTTACTAATTATTATTCTATCTTTCGGTTTGAGGACAAGCTAGGGGTTTTATAGGAGAGGCGTAGCGAGGGGAGGGCATATGTCCCCGGGTGCCGACCTTAGGGGGCGCCAAATTGGGTTTGAAAAAATTTGCGAGGGGGGGGGGGGGGTGGAAATCGAAAGTTTTAGGGCGGGGGGGGGGGGGGCAGGGGTGCAAATCGAAAGTTTGAGGGGGGTGCAAATCACCGGAAAGGGCGCGATTTGGCGCTACGGGCTAGACTGTGAGCAATATGCCTTTATGATTGCATTTAAATTGTGTTTATGTTATGAGTGTTGTGTTTGTTTTTTCGTTTTTTTTTTTTGTTTTTTTTTTTTGCGTTCGTTTGTGTTGTGTTTAGTTTTGTTCTGTTCCCAAGTTGGTACATTTAAAAAAGATTTACCGTGGCGGAGCACGGGATGCAGCTAGTATAATATAAGCGGGCTGTGTCTGTCCGTCATCGCTATAGATTTTGGGACTATAAAAGTAAACAACGCACCATGCTGTGCTTTCAGTGCACCGCAGTGTCTTATTATAAGTGACAGAGTACGGTTTGTTTATATAACGGCATAGAGCTGATTTATAATTGCCACCGTTTTTATTTATTTGCATAACGTCAAGAAAATATTAAATACCCGCACATTGCTAAAACGTATTAAAATGATCAATGTCAAATATCATTTTCTTTTTTATGTCTTGAAAAAGTGGAAGCATTTTAATAAGGTAATAACAGTACGGTAGAAAAATCTAATTAAACGGTTTAGTAATTTTGCCAAGGGAGGTAATTTAAAAATAAATTGAACTCACGCTAAAAATGTGAATGCAAAATCTGCAAGACGGCATAATTGTTGGAATAATATAATTAGCAAAATGTGAATGCAAATTGTGCAAACGTGTAAGAGTACATTATTGTTGGAATATTATAATTAGCATGGATTGATAAAAGGCTATCTTTTATTTATTTTATTCACTGAATGTACTGTTTACTAATTATAATTTTTAATAAACTATTCTCCATTATTATATTAATTATTACGTTCATTAGGTGCGCAATGGTTTTAGTCATGAAACTTTATTGTAAATTTTTAAAAGTACTGAAAAAAATGCATGAATTTATAAAGTGCAATATGGTCGGTAAAACACGGATATTCTAAATACTGCCTTTAATTTATTTGCGGAAAAGCTAGGGGTTTTATAACAGAGGCGTAGCAAGAGGGGGGGGGGGAGAGGGTGGAAATCGAAAGTTTGAGGGAGGTGGGAGGGTGTAAACCGAAATTTTTCGCCGGCGCTCGGAAAGGGCGCGATTTGGCGCTACGGGATAGACCAGGGGTCTCCAAACTTTTCAGTCCGAGGGCCGCATTAACTATCAAATTTCAGTTCGGGGGCCGGTTAATTCTAAACATGTCTTTGATTTTTCTGGGCAAAGTTCCTCAGCCATCACCAACAAACGTTTTTTCCGTGGACAAAAAGATCGCCGCGGGCCGGATGAGAGGACCTCGAGGGCCGGATCCGGCCCGGGGGCCGTAGTTTGGAGACACCTGGGATAGACTGTGAGCAATATGCCTTTATGATTACATTTAAAATGAGTTTATGTTGAGTGTTGTGTTTGTTTTTTCGTTTTTGTTTTTTCTTTGCGTTCGTTTGTGTTGTATTTAGTTTTGTTCTGTTCCCAACTTGGTATATTTAAAAAAGATTTACCGTGTGTTGTGGTTGTGGTTGTGTTGTGGTTGTGGTTGTGTTGTGGTTGTTTTGTGGTTGTGTTGTGGTTGTGGTTGTGTTGTGGTTGTGTTGTGATTGTGTTGTGGTTGTAATGTGGTTGTGTTGTGGTTGTGTTTTGTTTGTGTTTGTGTTTTTGTTTGTTTTGTTCTGTTCCAAAGTTGGTATATTTTAAAAAGATTTACCGTGGCGGAGCACGGGATGCAGCTAGTATATATATATATATATATATATATATATATATATATATATATATATATATATATATATATATATATATATATATATATATATATATATATATATATATACATGGGTAATATTCGTGTTTCAGGAAAAGTTTACTCGTGTTATATTTGTAGGGTCCGCTTGTAGTATATTTGTAGGGACCGCCTATGGAATATTTGTAGGGGTCGCCTCAAGAGACGAAAGTTCTGATTCGCCTCTCGATAGGACTGCGACAGATGGGGCAGTTATCGATGACAGCAGCGCACGTGCCGCAGCAGGTCAGGTGACCACACGGCACGAACGTGATGACCGCCTCACTGTCCATGCAGATCTTACACTGACGCTGCTGTCGCGTGAACTGGTTCTCCTGGTCCAGGTTCGAATCCGCCTGAGCTCCGGGTTTTGAATCAGTCTGGATTTCAGAGGCGACGGCACCCCCGCAGTGGTCCTGTAATATGGCCTGGGTCAGAGCTTCAGAGCTCTCAAACTGCATCCCTGTCTCGGCCAGTCTTTTGGTCAGAGTTTTCTTGACCAGGTCTTCTGGGATGTCGAGGTCAAGGACGTGCTTGACAATGTCGTCCTTCATCATTTCTGCTAAAGTTAGGCGCTTTGGCTCGATCTGGTGAAAAATTATTTTTTTAGACTAGACATAGATAAACACAGTGGCGTCACAAGGTGGTGGAGGGGGGTGGTCCGCACCAGGTGACCATCAATTTTAGGGGGGACACAATTTTTTTTTTCAAATTTGCAAAATGATGTACCGTCTAAATAATGTTCTATTCAGTACGAGAAAGAAAGTTGTAAGACGTAGGGGTGAGATGAAACCGAAAATGCAAAATTTTTGGACGAAGTGTGGTGTCACCCGCAGTCACCGCGCCCGATGACACCAGATCTAGTTACGTCGCTGCACACATACACACGTACCCACTAACATACACATGCCCAAAGAAACACGCTCCCAAGCTCATACAATACTCAGGTGTTTTAGCATTTGATTAGCACAATCCCTCGATACACCTTCGCACACAAACTATAACAAGATTATTTAAAACATACAAAACAAAAGAAAATAAAAATGCCATTCCTACCTTGACTAAAGCCTCAGGATTATACCACCATTTGTTTCTGTCTTCATAGACAACATGGACGTCTCCATCCTTATCCACATCACACACCGTCCCTTGCTTGTTGATGTACTGAAGACACAACACACATGTATCAAACAATGATGTGTTATTGTATGTAGGGACGTTCATATATATACATTTACGATCCGTGATAATATTTATAATATTTTAAGGAAGAAAAATTTAAAAACTTAACGAAATATCAGCTTTTGGTTAACTGTAGTGCTTTTAACTCTAAAATTGCCTAAAGCGATTTGGTCAATTCACACGATTGACTTGATTCGATTTTAAGTTGTTTGTACGGAAGGAAACTGTTTCTTTGTGGAGAGGGTACATACTAATTAAGGTTAAGTGAGGTTTATAGACTGTCTTTGAGGAAGCTGAAGCAGAGTTCAGCTATTACGGTTCCAGAATTTTTTTTAGGTCTTTCGTACATGATAATAAACCTAACCCACCCAAATAGGGAGCACTGGATCAACCTTAATCTCTTAACAGGGTTGCCAGGGTTAATCTAACCCATCTAATGGGGATTAAAGGATTAACCTAACTGTTAATCTTACTGTGTTATTTCAAGTTATTAATTAATTAATCTCCAAATTAAAATTATTTTGTATTTTAGACTGTGATATTGAACATCTCTTCGTGAGGACAGATTTGAGAAAGAATGATCTTGTTTAAAACAGATTAAGCTCCATGCCTAAGCAGTCTTAAGCTCATTACCTTGGCCATTTCTTGGCTCCAGCCGCCATGTTTATCCTGGAACATTTCCAAGATGTCTGCCTCGATCTCGCATTTGACCTGGTCACCTATCTTAAAACGTGCTGACGGTTTCTCCGATTTACCTGAGAAAACACCAGAATGTATAAAGACATATCAAAACCAAGTTGCCTTCACGAAAGGGCAGATTAAGAGCGTCATAGTTACAAATTGGGATACTAAAACATTATAAAAAAAAGAGGGCTTCGCGAAAGGGAAGATTTTTAGAGCGTCCTAGTTTACAAAGATACTAAAACATTATCAAAACAAGATCTTTGATTGAGAGCGCCATAGTTTACACACTGGGATCATATTTGGGCACTCAGAGTTTAGAATAAGAAATAAGAATAGGGCTGGATTTGAGAGTACTGGCAAAATACAAATTTGAACAGATCATGTCGATGTATTGGTAAGTTGCCTAACATTTTAGTGAATCGTTATTATTATGTGTGGACAGGTATATTAAAAGATTCTTACGCGAAGAACGGCTTTTTATCTACATGGAAAAACAAAGTTCGGCATTTCGACATAGTCTAGAGCATTAAGGGCGGCATTTTGACCTATATAGAGCACGTACAAGCAGCATTTAGACCAGATATCACAAGTTCGCCAACTATAAATAGCTCTATATAGTCCATCTTCTTTTCACCTTTTAGCTTCAACACAAACAGTGTATGTGTACTTTACAACCAGGTATAACAATAAAGCTCTTACCTAGCACTGGCAGATGGTTTTTGTAATAGACCAGTCCCAGCCCGGGCGTGACGTATTTCAGGTCAACCTGACCTTCATGACCCACACGGTAGGAGCAGGTTTTGGAAAAGAACGACCAGGAAACTCGGGCTTCGCTTCTTCCGCTTTCGTTTTCCCAGTTCCGGATCTCAACCACCTTGCCCTCCTTACCCGCTGAACCTGGAGGTTCATTTTAAATTATAATTAAAATTCTCTTTGAGTTAATGACCAATTATCCACATCATGTGACTTAATAAACAACCAACCATCCAGATCATGTGACCTAGTGAACCTACCGTCTAGACCACGTGACCTAGTGCACCCACCGTCTAGACCACGTGACCTAGTGCACCCACCGTCTAGACCACGTGACCTAGTGCACCCACCGTCTAGACCACGTGACAAAGTGCACCTACCGTCTAGACCACGTGACCTAGTGCACCCACCGTCTAGACCACGTGACAAAGTGCACCCACCGTCTAGACCACGTGACAAAGTGCACCTACCGTCTAGACCACGTAACCTACTGCACCCACCGTCTAGACCACGTGACAAAGTACACCTACCGTCTAGACCACATGACCTAGTGCACCTACCGTCTAGACCACGTGACCTAGTGCACCTATCGTCTAGACCACGTGACCTAGTGCACCTACCGTCCTGATCACCGTAGTTCCAATCCCTGCCGCGTGACACCGTGGCGCCCTTAAAGATACCACGTGACTGAACTCTCTCACGCCCACCCTCAGACCGCGGGGGGACCAGCACCCTGGGGAAGTTGGAATTCAATTGAATTAGATTAAGGCAGTCATTATTTAAGTAACCAGTTGAACAACAAACAGTCGTGCACAACACAAGCTTCAAAAGTTTAACTACTTAAAGTATAAAAAAAATCGTCTTTATAAAGAAAGAAAATGAATATATGTATATAGGCCTATATATATATATATATATATATATATATATATATATATATATATATATATATATATATATATATATATATATATATATATATATATATGTATATATATATATATATATATATATATATATATATATATATATATATAAATTTATTCTATTCATTCATATGGTTATGTGCATGCATGGCTAATACACATTGCCAACTAACATTTTATCATCCGGCCAGTCTATCCTGTAGAACTTGTGATATCTTGTGTGTTTGTCAGTCATATAGCAGACATGACAGAGGTCGTAGTTCTCACACTCTGAGCACTTCCAACGGATGCCGCGTATGGCGTCTGTCTTACACTCGTCACACTTGACTGTCGAGTGCACCACGCCTGTCAAAACACGCGTGGCAGATTGTGTTAATATGACGTCAACAAAAAAAACTCAAGCTCTACATAAATGTATGAATGCGTATATGTTGTATGTAATACCACCAGAAATACAAATCTACAAGATGTTTTTAAAATCTGTTTTCACATTTCACAATATTTTCTTCAGTAATTAATCACTTGTAAATATTTGCATTGTCTTCTAATAATAAAATACTTAAATTTATGGCATCTTAAAATAATCTTGTAGCCTATATTATATCTCCATGGTAGCTGTTTTTCCTGTTGTACTTTGTCCTAAGATATATTGTCTCTGAGACCTTCTGTCGTTGACGTCAATTTTCCTCATATATTTTGCCCTGGGATTCTTTAGTATTTAAGTTATAGTCTCTGAGATATTTTATCGGTGACGTCATTTGTCCTCCTATATTTTGCCCTGAGTTTCTTTAGTCTTTTAGATATATTGTCTGAGATATTTTGTCTGTGATATAATTAGCCCTCATATATTTTGCCCTGGGAGTCTTTAAGATATAGTCTCTGATATATTTTATCGGTGACGTCATTTGTCCTCATATATTTTGCCCTGAGATTCTTTAGTCCTTTTTATATATTGTCTGGGATATTTTGTCTGAGATCATTCTTCATGGAGCTAACAATATATCTTTGAATTGACGTCAAGAAAAAATAAACGCGTTTACTTACCACAAGGGGCGTTATCGTAGACGAGCAGATCAAACATGTTGTCTTTCCCTATCCTGTACACATTGCTGTCCCCGCTGTCCCATACGACAGTCACCGTCTGCTCTGGTGTTGCCTTGACTACGGTACCCACGTGACCAACGCCGCCATCTTGGTTCATCCATTTCCAGTCTGGTCCCCGTACGACTCTGGTACCGACATGCATGTCTTCTGGGCTCCCTGTTACCTGGGTACCAATCACAAGCAGAATCTATCTGTTAGACAATCCGTGTTGATGAAATCATTTTTATATTGAGTTTAAATGTAATCTATCAGCAAAGCCTATTCGACGACAGGCATAAAAAAAAATACAATAGCAATTGTTTAAATGTAAAAAAAAAATTAACCCCCTTTCCCCCTCTCACTCTTATTTAGTGTTCGGTATTTCTTTTGTTATTTCCCTTTGCCCCTGTTTATCAATATTCTTTGATACAAATTTCGTGGAAACTGCATGGGATAACAATATGAATACTCTTTCATCCAATTTTATAAATATACAGACTAACAAACAGAGACACGAACGTAGACAGTTACTGTATACGTACAGGAACATTTAAAGCATGAATACATTTTAGACCCAAATAGACAATGCTTTTATGTTTCTTACAGCAAATAAAAATAATCCAATTTTAAGTTTTGGACGGATAAACTATAAACATACTGTTTAAACATTAGAAAATTCAGCATTTAAAGAAAATAACTTTAAAAAAAAAATAGCAGCTTCAGATATACTTGAAAAGTAAGCATTTAAAGACGAAACATATTTTGTTAATATAACAACAACATTACTATCTCTTTAAAGGCTTCCAGCATTTGATGCATGACAAGCATCCTCTGCAAAGGCCTGCTCAGTAGACTTTCACCTAGTAGACCCAGAGCTAAGGCTGCTGCTAGACCTGATCCGTCTCGTTTCTTCAGTCGACCTTTCATCTTACCTGTGAACAATTATTAGTTGTTAAACTGGAAAGCCACTTAAATATATATATATATATATATATATATATATATATATATATATATATATATATATATATATATATATATACATATATACATATATATATATATATATATATATATAAATATATATATATATATATATATACAGCCTATTACATATTCCGCTAAGTATCGCACAAACTAACCCTCAATATAACCTCGATAGTAAATTTAGCCCCATCATTACCATAAACTAACCTAATATTTCATAAGTTGACTTAAACTATACTAACCTAATGTAGACTAACTTAACCTCAGATAACTGACCTAAACAGACTAACAAACTACAGACTAACACAACCTAAACTACACTCATCAAGTTTTACTTGACGTAAAGTGACCTAAACGTAAGCTAAAAGAAAGCGCTGGCATTTACATTTACACTTTAAATAGATAATGTTTACAATTAACCTACCCAACACAGCTAGATGTTCCTTGTAGTAGTTGCCACCCTTTGATGGCTTGATACATCTGAGGTCTACATCCCCGTCATGTCCGATTCTGTAGTTCTTGATGGACAGCGACGGCCACAGGACAGTGGCCTTGCTGCCGTAGGAGTCTTCACCCCAGTCTCCGATCTCTAACACTAGACCCTCGGTACCGGCACCGCCTGTAGGTCGGTAAATAATTTATTGGGTCACAGAGTTAGATCATAGTCATATCAAGGTTAAAGGTATAGTCACAGTTATATCTAGGTCACAAGTAGAGTTAGGTCATAGTCATATCTAGGTTAAAGGTATAGTCACAGTTATTTCTAGTTGACAAGTAGAGTTAGGTAATAGGTTTGACTAGGTCACAGGTAGAATTAGATCACAAGTATGGATCGGTCATAAGTATGCTAGGTCCCATGTAGAGCCAGGTCCAATGTATAGGTAGATCACAAGTATAGTTATATCGCTAATATACCTAGGTCACAGTTATATCAGTATGGTCACTGGTCATAGAGTCAGGTCACTGTTATAGCTAGGTCTCTAATAGAGTTTGGTCAGAGTAGAATAAGGTCATTGGTAAAATAAGATCACAAGTATTTATACTTGAATATATTACATTCACAGTTAGAGTAAATGCAAGAATCTAAGTAGGTCAAAGGTAGAGTCTAACTAGGTCACATGTAGAGTATAAGTAGGTCACATGTAGAGTATAAGTAGGTCACAGATAGAGTAAATCCACAATATAGAGTAAGGTCATTTGTATATTTTATTCACAGGTAGAATACGGTCGTAATATATATATATGGTTCCATGACAAATGATCTCAGGACAAATGATCTCAGGACAAATGATCTCAGGACAAATGATCTCAAGGACAAATGATCTCACGGACAAAAGATACCAGGACAAAATATATTAGGACAAATGATATCATTGACAAATGATCTCAGACAAAATATCTCAGACAAAATATCTCACAGCAAAATTTTAATTAGTTATACGATAATTTTAGTTGTTTTGAACATTTTTATTGACTGTCATGTGGTTTTGTTTACTTTTTTACACATTATAATAGTGAGTAAAATGAATTTGTCAAACTTAACAAAACATCAAAAGATTTGATAAACGTAATATTTGTAATAGCAGGTCTCCATGTTGTAACATCAAACCGTTGTTTTTATTGCATTATCAACACAAATATAATGCTTACGTTTCTTTGCTGACAATCAAATGGCTATGATCACACCTCTCCAATACTATGTGATCATCTACTATTGTGTGAACTCTTGCTCGACATTAATTCACTAGAAAATAATTTCCTATAACCTTTCTGCGTAAGAGGCCATAGCTGAGTAATCACCACTAATACTGCTTTGTTTGCATACACACTATGGCGGACTTGGCTCCGCGATGACTGCTATCATTTAAATAAGCTTTTGTCACCTGATCACTAAGGTGTGACCGACACATAACTATTGAATAGTTGTATTTTCTATGGAGGGCGGATGTCTTTACTTTAAGGCATGTCTCTGCCATCAAAGCGGGAGGCCACCTCGATACGAAGGAGTGGTTATTGTTATTTCATTCCCTTTGATCTAGTTTCATCAACCTGACTTGGTAGGTTTGTCTCTTATTTGGCAGGCACACCTACGCTATCTATAGAACAATTTCTTTAATCTTCGCATAATGCGGCAAACATTTCTTACAATTATTATATAGGCCTATAAACAATATTAAATAAAGTAAACACAATCATCTGACAGTCAATAAAAAATGTTAAGATCAACTAAAATCATCCTACACACTATTAAAATTTAGCTGTGAGATATTTTGTCTGAGATATTTTGTCTCAGATCATTTGCCCTTGAGATCATTTGTCCTGAGATATTTTGTCTGAGATCATTTGTCCTGTCACCATATATATATATATATATATAGATAACATTTGCAAATATTTAGTTTGAGGATGGTGGGTAAAATATGTCTCTCACTATTGAATGTTATCTATCAACCCCACTTTTCTTCTTGGTCTACCCGTTTCCATAACATCTCCCCCCACCCCAGTGTACTTACTTATCTCCAACCACAACCCCACCCCATGTACTTACTTATCTCCAACCACAACCCCCACCCCATGTACTTACCATCCTGGTCATCCCATCTCCAGTCACACCCCCTGCACACCGTCGCTCCAACAAAAATGCCCATGGCTGCTTTCTTTTCTCGTACGTCCGCACGTTTACCAACTGCAACGCTAAAACAAAAATATTTTTAAATTTTCTTTTGCGCTTACCTTGAGGATTCCATCTCAGCGTATTATACTATTAGAGAATGTTTGTTTGAGCTATCTTTTATTCTATTTCAGACTTGTTATTTTCAGAAAGTTTAAAACATTACACCAGGTAGATTCTGTATTAACCAACCTCTCGGTCGATGGGGCGTACAATCTCAGGAATGTATGCGTGACGTCATGCTTGTCGTCCATGTAGCACGTGGTACATAGGTCAAAGTTGGAGCAGACCCCACACTTCCAGCGGACGCCCTCGATCTCTCTCTTCTGGCATCCGTCACAGCTAATATTTTCATGCTTAACACCTATTCATAAAAAAAGTTTGTATTGGTACTTTGTCTATAAAAAACATGTAGTCGTCGTGTTAGGCCTGGTCAGTCGACTTACGCGTTCGAAACATCAGGCCGATAAAGCCTTTGACCCCTCCCTAGACTCGGCGATCGCCCCAGCCAAATGATTATGCCCCTGGTATTATAGCTTAAGATTTAGGGTTGGAAAGTTAATATATTAGTACACCACAGCGGAAAAAGGACGGGCGAAAGAAACAAAAGAGAAGATGAAAGGAGAAAGAGTTGAATTAAAGAGATGTAACATTCTTACAGGCAGAGTTTGCAGGTAGATGTTAGGTTCTTCTGTCTAAGGGTAGTCGATAACAACACAACGTATAGTGTACGATACGACAGACTTAATAACACTAATGAATGATTATACTAAATAATTCTAAGACGTTAAATATATATATATATATATATATATATATATATATATATATATATATATATATATATATATAAAATACAATAATATAATAAACGAGCTGACCCACGATACGCCACTATTTAGTTGTTTTATTTTCTACTTTTCAGTACTTCATAGTGAGTGAATTCGACAATACCCTCCCTTCCACCCCCCCCCCCCCCCCCCTCGCGAAAGCAGCCGTTAGTGACGAAAGTTTACGGACGACAATGAAAAGATCAAGCAGAACATTTTATTACCTCCCCTTAGTTTCAATTGTTTAAAAGCTATATTAATATTATCTGCCCCTAATACTGCACACAACACACCCACACACGGTCAATGGAAGCTATATGTAAAGGACGTAACACTATAGACATGACGAAATGACGCTCAACTATTGATGCCTCATACAACAATATGCTTTGAGAGATGATGATGATTATCAATGTTGTTATTCTTGTTTTGTTTTACACTTAACGGTAGAGAGATCTTAATCTAACATCATTAATTGTAAAAAAAATGAAATCATTTATGCAGTGTACCACGTGACATCATTAGATAAGACTGGCACACACACACGTCAACACAGCGACACACTTTTGTCACACAGTGTTGTTGAAGTAGCTTTTTGTTGAAGTAGGGTATTAGTATTTCCGATGGCTGTGTTATTATATGCTATTCCACATATGTCAGACTGTCATTATGATTACATTTTCATTAATAGGTTAGCAGTCCTTGTCTGGGTGCATTATGGTCACGTGTTCATTAACTCCCTTCAATTAACCTCTGGTGAATTCACGCGTCATTACCAATCAGATTAATTACTCCGCGGTGACAATTACACCCAACTCCACCTCACAAAAAATGAATTTGACATTTCCTATATGTCACTTATCAATTATGTTTATGATCTAGATCAGGGGTCTTCAACTTACGGCCCGTGGGCCGGATGCGGCCCGCGATGTCCTCTCATCCGGCCCCCGGAGATTTTTATTTCCACAGAAAAAAACTTTTGTTGTTGATGGCTGAGGAACTTTGCCCAGAAAAATCAAATACATGCCTGAAAGAACCTGGCCCCCGAATTGAGATTTGATAGTTAATGCGGCCCTCGGACTGAAAAGTTTGGACACCCATGACTAGATAAAGATGGGGATAGATATATGACATGGATAATTTAGGAAAAGGGTTAAGTTAAGGGTTAAGGGATAGTGATAGGATTAGGGATAGGTTAAAGGATCGGGACAGGATATGAGGGATTATGATAGGAAGCTCAATAGGAAGATGTAAATAGATATGGATACGGATTAAAATTAGGATTGGGATAGGATTAGAGAGCATGCCGTGACTTTGACATGGATAGGGATAATTTTTATTGTATAACGGGTTGGTTTTTTTTACAGGGTGCTTGTTGTCAGAAATTGAATTACTTTAAGTGAAGGGTAAGGACAAAGGGCGATGGTAAAAGAGAGATAGGGTTTTTAATTGACACAGGGGGGGGGGAGCATAATATCGTTGTCCCCAGGATTAATTAATCTGCAGTCATTATTTTAATCTGTTACTTAACATATTATCAGATTTACGATACAACGTTTTGATTCTTTCTTAATATATATATATATATATATATATATATATATATATATATATATATATATATATATATATATATATATATATATATCAGTGGCGTAGAGAGGGGGAACGGGGGGTGCGGACCGCACCGGGTGACACCATTTAGGGGGGTGACACCAAAGCAAAAAATAGCAAAATATATAGAGAAAATGATAATTCCACTTAGTTCAGTGATTAATTCGAGTGTTAGATAGTCTTTTTAGAGGTGCAACTCGAAAATTGAAAGTTTGTCACCGGGAAGGGTCGCTACGCTTCTGGGGAGTGAAACCATTAAGTGCCGCACCCGACCTCGCTACGCCACTGATATATATATATATATATATATATTATATATTATATATATATATATATATATATATATATATATATATATATATATATATATATATATATATATATATATATATATATATATACAGTCGTGTTAACTGCGGGCAATTTAAAACAATTCTGTTTTTGAAACTATTTCGGTACACGTCATGTAGCATACCTTTCGTAAACCATTCCAGTGTTGGTTGTTGTTTTTTTTTTTACCAGTGTGTCATGTGCCATCTGTTGAATGCTGAGGTCAGACCAAATTTCCAGGGAAATCACACAGCAACGATGCATGTGACCAAGTCGCATTGTGTAGGTGACCCACTTACAGTTCGAGGGTAACACGGGCGAAATGGGCGGTTTACACGATGCATTATTATCAGCTAGATCCTTGAACGTTCGCATTCCTCTTCCCTCTAAAGTTGGGCAAGTTTGGGCAAGTTTGTAGTCCATATGACTGAATTATCTTACACACCTAGTGGGGGAATTTAGTCGATAGCTATTAAAAGGAAGTGGGATGAATTAGTGTTATGTCAATGCATTAGCTTAGTGCTAGGTTAAGGCATTTTGCGTTAGTGTTAGGTTAATTAAGCAGCTGGGCTATTATTAGGTAAATTAAGCTATTGAGCTCATCATAGGTTAATTAAGCAATGGAGCTCATCATAGGTTAATTAAGCAATGGAGCTCATCATAGGTTAATCAAGCAATGGAGCTCATCATAGGTTAATTACGCTATTGGGCTATACTTAGGTTAATTAAGCTACTGAGCTATTCTTAGGTTAGCTATGTATGCCTTTGAGCTAGTCTAGGTCTGCCAGTCTGGTAAACATTTTAAAGTAATTTTAGGCTTGGAATTCGCGTAAATTTTATTTATTTATTTTATTACAATCTGACAAATATATGTTTATACGAATAACTCATCACTTAGTTTAATGGAGGATAATCCAATTCTAAAGCTTGCTACAAACGACGTGGCTTATATATATATATATTTTTTTTTTTTTTTTTTTTTTTTTTCTACCCAAATAGGCTAATGTAGATTCCTCTGATTAAGTGACTGACCTGTGTAGAAGCAACTGTATCAGATAGAATGAGATCACTTACCACAGATACCGTTGTCTAGAACCAGCAGATCAAAGCACCCCTCATGCCCCGCCCTGTAGGTTTTCCTGATCCCCGAGTCCCACAACACGACCACACAGTCGTCTGGGACAGAGGTCGAGTCTTCTCCCAACTCGACCACAGTGCCGACATGACCCTCTCCGCCATCTTGCTCGCCATATTTCCAGTCGGGTCCACGGACAACCCGTAGACCAACCTCCATTTTCACGTGAATCAATCAATGAAACCTCTCTGTATAGAAAGCCATGAACATGTTCATAGAAACATAATAAATAAATGTATCCATATAATCCAAAAGTGCACTTACATATGTATACTGCACACATGTATTTACATCAAGCATAAAACTTACATAGAAGACTCAAAAATAGATAGCGTAAACAACATATTAATACACGTCATATAATACAAATAACGGTCTATCTATACATTTTCAAAATATCGCCATGTAACCCCCCCCCCCCTCCCTCACAGAAACACTACTAGCAGACCAGCAACGCAGACTTGTCATATCGTCTGCAGTTGATGAAATAAACTTGAATTAAAATCTGATAAAACATGCAAAACACCCTCGCACTCTCGATATCAATATTAAAGCTTAAACTACAAATACAAATTGATACTTAATATTTGTGTTAAAAAAATATTACCAGTAGACTTCGTGTTAAATCATTAATTGATTTCTTTTTAATAAATAGTCCGCTATTGATTTTTTTTAAACTTACCTTTAGTAGATATGAACAAATGCAATATCCCTTTTAGAACGATGAGTCTGGATCGCTTTTAGTAAACACGTAGATTCTAGGCCTACATTGCAATCAAATAGCTCTGTATTTCCAATTTTAGTTATTTTCTGGATAAAGATAAAATTAGCTTCGGGATTTACCGCTATTACATTCTGAAAAATCCGTTTAACTGAACACTCAATAGACATCCCAAATGTTAAAAATAAACCAAATTCTAATAAACCCAAATTGAAGCCAAAACACTGCCCCAACGATTTCGCTTACCTTACCCTGAAGTAAATGAAATTTAAATAATTGTAATTTTAGATCAAGTGCCAGAGGCGTAGCGAGGGGGGGGGGGCGGAGGGGACATATGTCCCCGGGCGCCAACCTTAGGGGGGGCGCCAAATTGAAAGTTTGAGGGGGGTATAAATGAAAAGTTCGAGGGGGGGGGGGAGTGCAAATCGAAAGTTTGCCCCCGGGCGCCGGGTAGGGTCGCTACGCCTCTGCCAAGTGCACCTTATTTTGGCTGATCTAATGCGATAAAAATCTTGTTTATTACAGCTCTGTTAAAAATGAATAAGGTTTGCTAAATTGTTAGCCGAAAAAAATTGTAATTGCTAGTTTAAAAATATAACCTTAGCCAATGTTGCAGGGTTAAACAACAATCTTTTCCCGTCGTAATAAGAAACTTTTACGCCGCCGTTCTCATCTATACCACGCACCGATCCTACTTTGCCTCTGTACTGAAGAAACATACAGAAACATGTTGTTGCCTTACATGAAAACTGTTTCGTCTACACAACCATATCACACGGGACTGGATTCCACTGAGGCGTTGAAATATTTAAATATAATCAAGTTTTTACTCATTACAAATCTCCTTGGTTAAAGAATTTTATCTGAAAATATTACTTTAGCACATGCGGTCTCTGCCTGATGCTCAGGTAAAGGCAAATTGAAAACAGAGATACATATGTTAATAGGGGTCATCCATAAATGACGTCACGCTTTTTTTGACGATTTTTACCTCCCCCCCCTCCCCTCCGTCACACTTCGTCACAAAAAGCCAGACCACCCCCCCTAAAATGACGTCACACCTCAACCCACAACCCCCCTCAAAATTGCAGTTGAATTTTTTTTAAACCTTGATATTTTTCCAAAATCTTGTCTAAACTATTAAAATTTATTAAAACAGTTATCTAAAACGCGAAATAACGTCTAAAATTCGTTTTCTAACATTGCTTTTTTATAATGCAAAAATGTGACGTCGCAACATCTGACCCCCCCCCCCCTCCCCCTCATCACACATCATCACAAAATTACGGACCCCCCCTCCCCCCTACGAGTGTGACGTCATTTATGGATGACCCCATAATTCAAACGTGCAGCGGCGTAGCGAGGTCGGGTGTCACCCGGTGCGGCACTTAATGGTGTCACCCTCTCAGAGGCTTAGCGACCCTTCCCGGCGCCAGTGGACTAACTTTCAATTTGGCGCAATCTCTGGATCAACCTTTCAATTTTCGATTTGCACCACCCCCTCAAACAATCGATTTGCACTTCCCCTTCAAACTTTCCATTATCACCCCCATCCCCACCACCCTTGTTGGGATTTGTCAAATTCGCTCTTAAAAGACAATTTAACACACGAATTAATCACTTAATTAAGTGGGATTATCGTTTTTCTCAATATATTTTGCTATTTTTTGCCTTGGTATCACCCCTTAATTGGTGTCACCCGATGAGGTCCGCACCCCCGCCCCCCCCCCCCTCGCTACGCTACTGCAAACGTGCTTTATATTAATACTAGCTGCATCCCGTGCTCCGCCACGGTAAATCTTTTTAAAATATACCAACTTTGGAACAGAACAAAACAAACAAAAACACAAACACAAACAAAACACAACCACAACACAACCACATTACAACCACAACACAATCACAACACAACCACAACACAACCACAACCACAACACAACCACAAAACAACCACAACACAACCACAACCACAACACAACCACAACCACAACACACGGTAAATCTTTTTTAAATATACCAAGTTGGGAACAGAACAAAACTAAATACAACACAAACGAACGCAAAGAAAAAACAAAAACGAAAAAACAAACACAACACTCAACATAAACTCAATTTAAATGTAATCATAAAGGCATATTGCTCACAGTCTATCCCAGGTGTCTCCAAACTACGGCCCGCGGGCCGGATCCGGCCCTCGAGGTCCTCTCATCCGGCCCGCGGCGATCTTTTTGTCCACGGAAAAAACGTTTGTTGGTGATGGCTGAGGAACTTTGCCCAGAAAAATCAAAGACATGTTTAGAATTAACTGGCCCCCGAACTGAAATTTGATAGTTAATGCGGCCCTCGGACTGAAAAGTTTGGAGACCCCTGGTCTATCCCGTAGCGCCAAATCGCGCCCTTTCCGAGCGCCGGCGAAAAATTTCGATTTACACCCTCCCACCTCCCTCAAACTTTCGATTTCCACCCTCCCCCCCCCCTCTTGCTACGCCTCTGTTATAAAACCCCTAGCTTTTCCGCAAATAAATTAAAGGCAGTATTTAGAATATCCGTGTTTTACCGACCATATTGCACTTTATAAATTCATGCATTTTTTTCAGTACTTTTAAAAATTTACAATAAAGTTTCATGACTAAAACCATTGCGCACCTAATGAACGTGATAATTAATATAATAATGGAGAATAGTTTATTAAAAATTATAATTAGTAAACAGTACATTCAGTGAATAAAATAAATAAAAGATAGCCTTTTATCAATCCATGCTAATTATAATATTCCAACAATAATGTACTCTTACACGTTTGCACAATTTGCATTCACATTTTGCTAATTATATTATTCCAACAATTATTCCGTCTTGCAGATTTTGCATTCACATTTTTAGCGTGAGTTCAATTTATTTTTAAATTACCTCCCTTGGCAAAATTACTAAACCGTTTAATTAGATTTTTCTACCGTACTGTTATTACCTTATTAAAATGCTTCCACTTTTTCAAGACATAAAAAAGAAAATGATATTTGACATTGATCATTTTAATACGTTTTAGCAATGTGCGGGTATTTAATATTTTCTTGACGTTATGCAAATAAATAAAAACGGTGGCAATTATAAAATAGCTCTATGCCGTTATAAAAACAAACCCTACTCTGTCACTTATAATAAGACACTGCGGTGCACTGAAAGCACAGCATGGTGCGTTGTTTACTTTTATAGTCCCAAAATCTATAGCGATGACGGACAGACACAGCCCGCTTATATTATAGATTAAATTTTAATACGTTTCCTATTCAAATATGAAGAGGTTGCGGTTATAAACAAAATTGTCGGCAATTAAATTGTTTTTTAAGGTAGACAATGGTACATTCTAATAGATTTAAAAATGCGTATAAATAAATCTTAAAAATGGTACTTCAGTAGAGCCAGATTTAAAATTCTGATGAGCACATAAGATAACATTACCTAATATACCAGCGTTTTTAAGCAATTATCAACTAAATTGTTTTGTAAATAGAGACTAAAAACAATAACATAATATACATTTCTGTAGCTCAACACTGTGCTCATTTTAAGAATGTGTATGTTTGCTTCCATCAAAGTCAGAAATGTTTGCTATTGTTGAATCGGCAAGTGGTAGTAACGATCGACAAATGTCTCACTTCGACAATCGGTAAATGTCTCACTTCGACAATCGGTAAATGTCTCACTTCGACAATCGGTAAATGTCTCACTTCGACAATCGGTAAATGTCTCACACATTACTTTATCACCAACAGCAAACGTCGACGAAGCTTCAAGCTTACCTTGGTAAAAAACTAGACGTTAGCTTCACGTATACCAAACAATTCATTAAACCTTTGTAAATAACCATATAATATGTATTTTTCAAAATGATACACACCCAAACGTTATATATAACATTTAGATTTTTTCTCTTTAAATTAGGATATGTTTCACTTACCTTGAATTAGCCTACATCAACAAATATCGAAATATATTTTTCTACCTTATTGTTCTTCTTCTTCTTCGTTCTTAATTATTAGTGTTGAAGGGGATCGAGATTTATCTGCCAGTGGGTTTGAGCTCGAGACTTTGTTCGAATTTATCAACTATGAGCTTTTTGCCGACTCGACCACGCCTCCAACAAAATTAAGCGTTACGTGTCAACTGGTTATGCGCCATTGAGGCCATTGACTCCGATTTAAGCCTGCTTTTCTTTTTGGATTTGGTTCCATAGCCTTTGTCCAACCAAGAACAAACTACAAGGCAGCAGTTGTTTAATTTTGGAGTTGTCTCTCCTAGAAGAGTGGCTGTCCCCAGCTAACGAGCCTCATCTGCCCGAGTACCTTATTGTTAATAACGTCACCGTTTAATCTACGATCCGGATAGTTTATGTATGTGAGTGCAAAGTGTCTTTTAAAGCAACAGTTCACAATTTAAGTCTTTTATATCAAAATCCCCCCCCCCCCCCCCCCTTAACTCATTACTGAAGATAAAATATCCAGATTGTGCCCTTATATGAATTTCCGATGTCATAGATTTACGTCAAGATTTCCAAACCAGAGACTGGTTCTCATCTCATTTTCAGTAGAACTTGGTCTATATGTGTGTATTTCAGCTACGCTTATTGAAGTGAAGATTTTATTATGCGATATTAAGTTACATTCAGTGCCTATTTATTCCTACAATATGTTGCAATAAATTTTTTCTAGGCGCACACATCATGATATTGTTTTTAATTGATCGATACAGACTAGGAAGTGGAATCTCTCCATAAGACCCCACAAGAACGTTTACCTGTAAAAGACGTTAAAGGGCTGGATCGATAACCAAACATTATCTACGCCTCTATTCAGGTGAACCGTTCCGACGAAATTGTTCGTGGTGGTGGGGCAGTTTCATGTCACCCTATTCCTGCTGGGGTTACCCTATTCCTGCTGGGGTCACCCTATTCCTGCTGGGGTCACTCTATTCCTGCTGTGGTCACCCTATTCCTGATAGGGTCACCCTATTCCTGCTGGGGTCAGCCTATTCCTTCTGGGATCACCCTATTCCTGCTGGGGTCACAATATTCCTCTATTCCTGCTGGGGTCACTCTATTCCTGCTGTGGTCACCCTATTCCTGATAGGGTCACCCTATTCCTGCTGTGGTCACCCTATTCCTGCTGGGGTCACCCTATTAATGCTTGGGTCACTTTATTCATGCTGATGTCAAGCTATCCCTAATTGGGGCAGCGTAGTCCTGTTGATGTCTTCATGTGATGGTAACTGTACATAGCTGGAGCAATGTATTACATTAGCCAGTTAAACTAGATTTTCTAAGTATAATAAGAAATGTATCGGTCGACCTTCCATCAAACGATGTCGTATTGTGGATCAGCAAACCATGCACTTATTTTGAAACAAACATTTACTTGTGTTTATAATTTAATTATTATTTTTTAAATCTGTTTATTTTATTTTAGGTCATTTAATCGCCTGCTATTATATTTCTAAGATACCTGTTTAAGTGGTTGGAAAGTACCTGAGATGGTTTCGATCCTACCACCTTGACCAATTATAAAGGAAGTGACTTGAGAGTATTGATACATCATTCTTTATCTACATTTGTCTATCATGTCAAACAAGACAAACGTCAATTCGAAAGTTAAAATTGAATCAAAATCACACCCATAAATATATAAACAAAACAAAAAGTCAGTTTTCTCTTTTTTATTAAAAACATAATTTCGTGGTTTGTTTAAATTACTCCAAAAAGAACGAAATATCATAACAACATATTTTGAATTAACTTAATTGTTTTTCCATTAATGTAAATCATTTCCAAATTTTTTAAACAACGAGAAAACAACGAACAATTAGGTTGAACGTGTAACAAAGCTATCAAACAATATTTTATAAATAGGAAAACATAAGAAAACATGTATTTAAAATTTAAAATGCGGCTTTACACATACACACACAAACCTGTATATATATATATATGTATATGTATATATATATATATATATATATATATATATATATATATATATATATATATATATATATATAATTTTCTTCTGGGAGACGCTAGAAAACAAGCTGTAAGCGCGCTCCCTACCACCCCCACCCCTACATGGTCTGGTGAGCTGTGGTTCACGCTGTTTACAAGCAGGGCCGGGTTTAGTGACGACTATTAGGGGCAGATAATTTAGTTTGAAACGATTTTAAACGTAAGGGGGAGGGTGGGGGGGGGGGTAAATAAGTGGAGTTTACTTTAACGGAAGGGGGGGGGGGAGGAGGGGGAGGGGATTATCGTCCTTAACAAGCTACTTATAGTGTTTAAAAGAAACATTTTCAGTGGCAGCGTTGGTACTGTCGAATTCACAAATTATGAATTACTGAAAGGTAGAAAAAAAAAACAACTAAATATAGGCGTATGATATGCCGCGGGTCGGCTCGTTGTTAATATTTGTACAAAGCATGAATCCAATTACATAGTCATATGTACATCAATGAAACAAAAGATTTAGTAGAGACGAAACCGCATAATTTAATGTTCAGTTCAAGGTCTCATTAAGACACGTATGTAACGAGTCTCGAGACCACGACAGCCCGACAGATAGGACACGTGACCAACTGAGCTGAACAGTCACCGCAGCATGCCAGGTGCCCGCAGGGCTGAAACGTGATTTTCACCGCTCTCTCTCTAAACAGATCTTACACTTCAGCTGTTCCCTCAACTTCCTGTTCTCCATGCTGAGCCTTGTGACCACGCTAGGGTTAGGTACCGCTGTTGTATGTTCAGCGCGGTCTTCTCTTCGGGCGGCTTCAGCCAGAGACTGAGCTGTTTCAAAGTTTTGGCCGTGCTCCACGAGTCTCCTCTCCAGGGCTTTGACGACCCAAGCTTTGTTGATGTCCATTCGAAGCACCTGTAAGCTGATGGGGTCAGTCAGCATGTCAGCTACAGTAAGCGGTTGAAGAAAAGTCTGGGGACACGATTTGATTAAACAAAATTGAAATTATGAGTTGTAAAATATCTTGAAAGAATAAAAGGAAACGCTTTGTGACTATAAAGAATATTTAAGCTGTTCCTTGTTGGTTTTTTAACACATGTAATCAGATTATAGTGAAACGTAACTTGATGTAGGCCTATCTCAATTTAAAACATTCATTCAACTTATATTTAATTTAACATTTTTACGTAATTTCAATAATAACACACACATTGTACAACAATCAGGAACGTTTGTTAACAAATACAAATAAAAACAATCATAATGTAAAAATTAGATGTTAATCCCTACCAAAGCCTCAGGATTAAATGTAATCCTTCTACCATCTTTAAAGACAGCTAAAACATCGCCATAATCGTCAATGGAGAAAACTTGCCCTTTCTGTTTGAGGTACTAAATATATATACGGTTATCAATAATTACAAATAACACATTTGGCACATGATTTAAAAAAAAGTTTCTACTTAGTATATATATATATTATATATATATATATATATATATAATTCAATATCTTGGGCTATGTAACTGAATGTTATAACCCCCGCCCCCATCCCGGCTTGAAAAAGTACCTGAACGGAATTAATTATAACCAAACAAAGCAAAATAATGCAAAATATGTTTTTTTTTTCGGATTGATAAACATTGGACTAAAGATCTGCAATAACTAATGCAATAATAATTTTACAGGTAGAGTTTAGTGTTTGTTAGAGACTTTTTTCTCCGGGGGGGGGGGGGGGGCTCTTGAAAATTTTGAGGGGGGGGGGGTATATATTTTCTATATATCTGAAGAGAATCCTAGAACATTGTGTTAAAATACCAAATAAATAAAAACCGAATCACCTTATTGTCTTCATCTCTCCATCCTCCGTGGTTGAGCTGAAGGTTTTTTAGTTTGTTCTCGGAAATCTCACAGGTAACCTGATCTCCAACTTTAAACCTTGCAGGTGGTTTCAGTGATTTACCTGAGTGAACAAACGTGTGTGTTTACTGCCTGATTTACCTGTGTGTTTAGTGTTTAATTATTTACCCATGCGCTAAAACGTGTGCGTTTAGTGAATGATTTAATATAATTAACATCATTTTTTTTCAAAAACTCAAAATGCTATTGATTGTATCAGATTCTTACATTTTGTAATTAAAACTATAACAAAGAGAAGGATTCAGGAATTAGAAAATTGATGTGACAGTGTCTATTCTTCTCTAGATTATTTATAGCTATCCCAGAGTTGTTCTTTCTTCTCCCATTCCTTAGACTTAGACCCCCAAGACTCAAATCAGTTAAACATTTTTATATAAATACAATTAAAAAACCTACCTAATATGGGAAGATGACCTTTATAAAAGATTAATCCCATCCCAGGTTTTACAAACTTAAGGTCGACCTGACCTCCGTGTCCCAAGCGGTAAAAAAAGTTTCTCCCATAAGTTGACCACAGCACTCTCACGTGACTTCTGCCGCTTCCCACCCCATCAGTGATGTCTATCACCTTACCTGCGTTACCTGGAACGCCTGCATTAATGGAACAAAATTTTACAGGTAAACAAATATTACGCTTCGAGTGAGTATTATAGGTTATTTTCATTTCTAAATACAACATAATGATTGTCAGCGTTCTTAACTCGATTGAGTAGAAGCATTTAACTGAAATGGACGTCGTGGCATAGCGGCAGAGAGCTAGACGGCTCGAGTTTGAATCCGGGTTCAAATCTGATGGGTACCTAACTTACGTTAGGGAAGCAAAGGCGGCTGGGCATGGTGCTGACCACAATATCCCTTCAATTGCCGAGGTCATCTGAAGCAGATGAAATCTACTTCAAATGCCCCATGTGTCTTATATTCAATTGTCTGTACAGGCAGGTATTACCAATAAATAATTATTACTATTATCCTAGCCGACAATTATATTTTTAGCATAATCTACCTGTAGTTACTAACTACAAACTTTATAGGTATCTAGTTAATATCCTTACTACCAAGTAACTGACATCAATATTTTTATTTTCTATTTACCATCCTAATAACCAATAACATATAAACACCATCAAAATCATCATCTACATTCACCTACCATCCTAGCCACCTGTTCTTACCATCCGAACAAACATCTACCTGTACCTACCATCCAACCCAACATCTGCCTGTACGACCATCCAAACAAACATCGTCCTGTACCTATCATCCAACCAAAAATCTGCCTGTACCTATCATCCAACCAAACATCTGCCTGTACCTACCATCCAACCCAACCTCTGCCTTTACCTACCATCCAAACCAACATCTGCCTGTACCTACCATCCCAACTAACATCTGCCTGTACCTACCATCCAAACCAACATCTGCCTGTACCTACCATCCAACTAAACATCTGCCTGTACCTACCATCCAAACCAACATCTGCCTGTACCTACCATCCTGTTCACCATACTTCCAGTCCAAACCACGTGACACTGTGGCACGTCTGAAGATACCACGTGACTGAACCTTCTGGTCTGAATATTCAGATCGAGGCTGGACTAGAACACTGTTAAGATCAAAATCATTTCCTTTGTTGTATTTCTAATCGGAGATTTTACTTTTGTCAACCTAGACAAAATAAGCATCGAGCTTTTTTCTGTCAATGGTTTGTTGAGGAAATAAAAATTATAGACATATCATTTTACGGTAGATACTATAAAAGATGCTTTTTTCACCAATTTAGTTAAACATTTCATCAATTATGAGAAAAAGCAATTTTATTTGTTTTAGATTAACCCCTAATCCTAACCTCTCCACCTACTACTAAACCCTAGCCCTAATTTTGATGTTATGTACTAACAATTAAATGCACACAGAAAAAAAAAACAGTCAACACATATTTGCTCTGTTCGGGAACCGAACTTCTGTTTTGATATCTGCCGTACGTTTCTTTCTACCAAGCCGGCACTAGAAATTATCTTCAAACAAAGCTTCATATAAAAGTATGCATAGGCCTACTTCCGTTCGAAAATTGTAAAAATATGTTTGCCTAAATATGCATAGCTATTGACTGAAACTGGCAAGGTGTTTATTTCATCTACGGTTGACCGAAGTAGGCACTTGCTATTATAAAAGAAGTAGTTAAAAATACCAACTTGGCTTAATCAAACTAAAGAGTTTTAATATCGTAATTGACTAATCTTTACTTTGTAGTATTCTAGGTTACAAGGGATAAAATACAGGAATGTTCATAGTATGCTTCAATTATTTCTTCATACATTCATTTCAGGTATTCTAAATTTTAACCCCACATAGAGCACAATAAAATATCAAATATATATCTTGTACTAAAACAATATAGTATTTTATACTAAATCCAGGTATCTCAGTAACACTTATACATGCAGCACAGTCGTGAGTTCGTTTCTAGGCAGTCCTCTTAGAATTCATATTGTTTGTTTAGGTTAGCTTGTTGCCCCTACTTGGGCATAGGCCGCTGACAAGAGCTTTCCAGGAGGCATCTCTGTCCTGTGCTAGTCTCTCCAACTGTCCCCAGGTGTATCCAAATCCAATCTTCTTGGTGTCTTCTTCCAGGTCACGTCTTCATGTCTTTCTAGGTCTGCTTCTCCTCCTCCTGCCCTCAGGATTCCAGGTGAGGGTTATGTCTTGTGATGCTGGAAACAGGCTTCTTGGGTATGTGGCCAATCCATTTCTTTTTTCTCTGGGGGATCTCTTCTTAAGCTTACCGTTTATTAGAATTTATACTATCAAGTTGTAATTCTCCACTCAGCTCTGCCGAAGTTACCTACCTACTCTCATTAGGTCGATCTATCCTGAGAAACCTATGCTCTGTTAGGTGCTTGTCGTTCATGTAGCAGTCAGTGCAGAGGTCGAGCTCGTTACACTCAGAACATTTCCAGCGTACGCCACGAATCACAGCACACTTGCACTCACAGCAGCCGATAGACCAGTGGAGCACACCTGGGTGTCAAGTTCGTTAAATAGGTTAGGTACTCGTTACTGTGTGTGTATGTGTGTGCGTGTTTGTTACGCTTTGCCCTTATATAATTACTTTATAATAATTAAAAAAATCACTTGATTCGTAGGGCTGAAGTAGACACACACACACATCACACTAGAATATATACACACATACGATACATATTAACACATAAATACGAATGCGCACAGTTTAGCAAATGTATCTACACTAATATATACCAGTGTTTCTTCCAGACTTTTTTTCTCCGGGGGAGGGGGCACTTGATATTTTCGGGGGGGGGGGGGGGGGGGAGCGGACAACATTTCCCGGGGGTGCCGACACTGGTATAAGTATATTTTTCTATATAAAATCTATTTTGTTTTGGGGGGGGGGTGGGCTCAGCCACCGCGATGAGATGCCTGGAAGAAACTCTGATACATACGTACATAGTTTTACATTTATGGATATTTTTATATTTATGTAAGTCCGATTTGTTTATATACATATATATTTATTTATATAATTCAAAGAGTGTATTGCTTTTCCTACTTAGTGTATACTAGCCTGACACTTTTGTTTGAAACTACAAATTGTATTTACCAGAAGGAGCGTTATCGTAGACTTGCAGATCATAGTTCCTATCTGCACCTGCTCGGTATGTGTAACCTTTACCGTGATCCCACACCACGTCAACCGTCTTGTCAACATGAACTTTGACCACAGTGCCGACATACCCCAGGCCACCATCCTGGTTCTGCCATTTCCAGTGCGGGCCACGCACCACTCTGGTGCCAAGATGTAAATTAGATAAAGCTCCAGTCTGCTGCCAATCGAAATATATTAAAATTAAACATATATATATATATATATATATATATATATATATATATATATATATATATATATATATATGTATATATATATATATATATATATATATATATATATATATATATATATATATATATTTATATATATATATATATATATAATTCTCTTCTGGGAGACGCTAGAAAACAAGTTGTAAACGCGCTCCCTACCACCCCCACCCCTACATGGTCTGGTGAGCTAAATGTTTACAAACAGAGCCGGGTTTAGTGACGACTATTAGGGGCAGATAATTTAGTTTGAAACGATTTTAAACGTAGGGGGGGGGGGGGTAACTAAGTGGAGTTTACTTTAACGGAGGGGGGGGGGGGGGGGGGAAGGGGGGGGGGTTATCGTCCTTAACGAGCTACTTATAGTGTTTTAAAGAAATATTTTCAGTGGCAGCGTCGGTACTGTCGAATTCAAAATTATGAATTACTGAAAAGTAGAAAAAAAAAAACAAACAAGTAAATAGCGGCGTATGATATGCCGTGGGTCGGCTCGTACTCTTTATAAATCCTCTTGTTGTTTCCTTACACATATTGCCGTGTTTATACATATTACACATTAAATATATTTCGAAAAACTAAAAAGCTCAAACAAAACGAATGGACATAGTTAATAATATATTAAACAAAAATATAAAGAACTTTAACTAAATGTAATACTAGTATCATACAAACCTACGTCGAAGCACTATCCATTTTTAGTGCTATGTGTTACTGCTATGTGTTATTGAATTGTTTTATTTGTTTAAACGGCCAATGTGAAAAAAGGCCTTTGTGCCTACAATTGTAACCGTTGTTTGAATAAATTTGAATAAATTTGATTTGAGCTTTTCAATTTCCTTTAATTGCGACATACACCATTGATCGAAAAATATCACTCCTTTTTCATATTAACTGATTTAAAAAAAAATCGTTTCAAATCATTTACTTACCATAACTGCTTTAATTTTAGCCCTGCCAGTAGTGTAGCATTTTCGATTTAAAACAACACGAACAACACACGTAAATCTAACACGGTAGTGAATTTAAGAAAATCAATGAAATATTTACTTGGATAAGAGTAAGTATCTATAGGTGTACATATAGAAATTTGGAAAAAAATAATCAATATTGCTACGCTAGCTTTTATAGAATGTGAATAATATTTGCTAATGTTAAATGCTCTACGAAAAACATGCTAATATATATTCAAACAGCTATACAATTATAATCTGAATACCGTGTTTGTCTACATGAAAAGCCGCTGTGTTTAATATTGTATTGCTTACCTGGTTCTGTATACTAAATCGGGATTTCCCAGCAAGATTCCAATAACATAATAAATATGTGTAGGTCCTGAATACCGAACTTAAAAGTTTAAAAATAGAATGGAATTTTTGTCTTCACTGCAAACATTTACTCGGGGTTTCTTTCAGTCATTTTTATCAAGCGAGGTAGGAAGAGATGCCGTGGAGTGGGGGGGGGGGGGGGAAGGATCGCGTCAGGTCAAGCTTGACCCTCTCACATCAACACTAAAAAAATGAAAATACAGCTTTATTTATATACGCTATTTATTTATATTTGTAAAATACATCGATGTAGCCAACAATAAACAATTGTTCTGAATATATATAGCTGAAAAATATCTAATATTTTCTGCCTTAATTTTTTTATAACACTAGTATACAAATAATCGTTTTGTTAATTAACAGAACCGTGTAATTTAACCCAAAAAAAAGAACATAGATTAACACAATAAACATAAATTATTAGTATTACTGTCAAAATACCAAGCTTTAAGCATCATGTAAATATAGCACTGACTTAAGAACAGATCGCAATTACTTTTGCGTATTGTTTGTAGAGCATATTATAGCGGCAAAATATATATATATTCGTAGGATATTAAGTGCACAGATAAAAAGCAGAAAACTTTAATAAAATTAAACATAAGTCACATTTAAAAAAAAAAATTAAAAGTAAACCTGAGATGTAATAAATTCAACATAAAATTTGTACATACATTTTGGGAAGTAAAACTTTAGCATTTAAAAAACAAAATCTTAAGCTCTGCTATGAGATAAAATGACTGTTATGCTGCGTTATGAAAGATGTTATTTAGCTGGTCCTCGAACTTTGTTATATTGTAAAACAAATGTTATAGGCAGCATACAAACCTTCTGGTTATGTAGTAAAGTTACAGTGACGAAAACTTAGAAAATGAAAACAGTTATATACTTTAATATCGGCCTACACAAAAAGTGGTTAGTAGAAACAACATAAGATTACTAATTGCATTGAAAATTACTGTTTAATAATTACTTATCAAATTATTACAATAAACAGCTAATATTCATTTCTGTTTTTTTTACTGGACTGATTCTTTTTTTTTCGAATTATACATACAGTATTTCACTATTGAAAAACAAATGTTTTAAATTGATTTGAGAATTGAAAAAAAAAACATACAACATCAATCAGAATTACAAAAAAATGAAATAATTGAAAGTCTACATTCTGATTTAAGCTTTGTTTCAAGTGGTAGCCATAAAATGCGTCAACATTGTGTATGTGTCTTTGCTTGTACTTAACTACCATTCAACTCACAATATGCACGCACTTAAGCAAGAGGTCTTCGTTTAAGCTTAGCTTCAAGTCAAATGACTATAATGTACATAAGATGTGTCTTAGATTGTACCAAACTACCATTCCACATCACAACGTGCATGAGCTCAAGCAAGATCCTCTCGCCCTATGCAACAAAAGTTCTGATACGGCTCTCTATACGTGAGCGGCAGATGGGGCAGTCGGTGATGGCAGCGGCGCACGTGCCGCAGCATGACAGGTGACCACACGGCACGAACGTGATGACAGCCTCACTGTCCATGCAGATCTTACACTGGTGCTGTTGTCGCGTGAACTGGTTCTCCTGGTCCAGGTTCGAATCCGCCTGAAGCTTAGCTTTGGGTTTTCCAGCATCGGTTCCTTTGGTACCAGAGGCGACGGCACCCCCGCAGTGTTCTTTAAGTATGGCCTCGGTCAGAGCTTCAGAGCTCTCAAACTGCATCCCTGTCTCGGCCAGTCTTTTGGTCAGAGTTTTCTTGACCAGGTCTTCTGGGATGTCGAGGTCAAGGACGTGCTTGACGATGTCGTCCTTCATCATGACGTCAACAGTTAAACGTTTGACCTCGACCTAAAAATATTCAACACAGAAACGTGTAAAGTAACCCCACAATATATATATATATATATATATATATATATATATATATATATATCATTCCAAATAAAACATAAATGCTAGTAGATGTTGTAAAACGCCTAGTGGATTAATACATGTCCAGTTACTGGTAAAATGAATTGGAGATAGCGTTTCATCCATTTACCGCCTGTCTGGCTAATGATCGATGTATGAACCGCAAACACCTTATACGATTCACTCAGGTGTTTGTATAAATTTTACGGTCTAAAACCTAGTTAAGTATATTTTGGCGTCTCAAAACCAAAGACTTTGAAGAATACTTTAAATACACAAGACTAAATTGTAATGTAATGTTAATATGGTATAAAGCTTATAATGTACAAATTAATATTAAAGCATCCAATATTTTTATATACAAAAGTCCGCGTGTGCACTTCAATGTCTGTCACTGTTTTTTTGAGGCTATGAGATAGATATCTTCAGCAATGTGTGTAGATCGTAAAGCTACGGATTTTTTTTGGAGAAAAATGTTCTAGTTATACTTATTGTGCAAACGTAATGTTATTTACACACAGTAATAAATAAAAGATATATTCAAATCTAGAAAACACATTTATTAAACAGCCAGAGAAATGAAATATTTTTTTAAAACATTACATTAAGTCCTTATCTTCCAATAAGAAATTAGACACTACTAGAGTTGTATTGCTTTCTAAATCAATATTAAGTTTTGTCTAGAGAATTAATGAAACATATATTAGCAACCTCTATTAGCTACTAGCTATATTTTACGCTAAAGAATTTGAAAAGTGTTTGATGTTCGTTTTCATATTGGTATTTATTCGCACATTTTATCTGGAATTTGTTTTTTGTTGATACTTTAAGTATAATTTTAAATTATTAAAAACAAGAAGTTTAAGTATGTTTCCTTATAAAATAAAAATAAAAAGTCTTGCTCCATACCTTGACCAAAGCCTCAGGATTAAAGCACCATTTCTGTCTGTCTTCATAGACAACTTGTATGTCTCCATCATCGTCCACATCACACACAGTCCCTTTCTTGTTAATGTACTAAATACACAACACACATTGTAAAAGTAGAGCTGCTACTGAGATGATATATCGATTCCCTAGAACCAGACTGTTCTAACCCTATGTTTTTTTTATCAAGATTTACACACCGTTGTGTTTTAAATCCATCAAGACATCGTGACAAAAAAACCTCGTTTTCACACCACTCACCGTTAATACACAACACTTTGAATTTCCCAAGTACATTAAATAGAAATTTTAAGAAAAACAAAACTTTAAAGTCTTGTTATGAACGATTTTAAAAGTAGAGTTTGAATTGTTTTGTTCTAGAAAAGCGATGTATGCGTACAGACTTTCACAAGTTCTTCATAAACTTAGCATGTTCCGTCATTGTGCAACAAGTTGAAGTAATATGTTGGAGATTTTTTACTTGAATAAATTCATTGAGTTTTTTAAAAGAACCATATAATGTTAGAATAGAGTAGGCAATTGTGAATGGTTACAGTGAACTGAGTAGGCCATTGTGAGATCTTCTTCTTCTTCGTTCTTAATTTTTAGTGTCGGGAGGGATCGAGCCTTATCTGCCAGAGGGTTTGAACTCGAGACTTTTCGAATTTATCAACCATGAGCTTTGCCGACTCGACCATGCTTCCATCGCAATTAAGGATTACGTGTCAACTGGTTATGCGCCATTGAGGCCATTGACTCCGATTTCAGCCTGCTTTTCTTTTAGGATTTGCTTCCATAGCCTTTGTCCAACCAAGAACAAACTACAAGGCAGCAGTTGTTTGATTTTGGAGTTGTCTCTCCTAGAAGAGTGGCTGTCCCCAGCTAACGTGCCTCATCTCCACGAGGGTTCGAACTCGAGACTTCTCGGTTTAGCAACCATGAGCTTTACCGACTCGACCACGCCGACCACCCATTGTGAGATGATAAAGTAGAGTAGGCCATTGTGAGTGGATACAGTAAGAGTAGGCCATTGTTTACCTTTGCCATTTCGTTGTTCCAACCGCCATGTTTTTCCTGGAACTTTTTCAACGCGTCCAGTGGCATCACACACATAACCGGGTCCCCGACCTTAAACCACGAGTACTGTTCCTCTACTTTACCTAGATAATTTTAAAGGTTTAAAATGGAACCACAAGTACTGCTCCTCTACTTTACCTAGTCATGTTATAAGGTTTATGTTATAAGGTTTAAAATGTAACAACAAAACCATGATTACTGTTCCTCTATTTTACCTAGGTCATGTTATAAGGTTTAAAATGTAACAACAAAACCATGATTACTGTTCCTCTATTTTACCTAGGTCATGTTATAAGAATTAAAATGTAACAACAAAATCATGATTACTGTTCCTCTATTTTACCTAGGTCATGTTATAAGGTTTAATATGTAACAACAAAATCATGATTACTGTTCCTCTATTTTACCTAGGTCATGTTATAAAATTTAAAATGTAACAACAAAACCATGATTACTGTTGTTCCTCTATTTTACCTAGGTCATGTTATAAGGTTTAAAATGTAACAACAAAACCACCAGTACTGTTCCTCTACTTTACCTAGGTCATGTTATAAGGTTTAAAATGTAACCACGTGTACTGTTCCTCTACTTTACCAATGTTAACGTTTTATAATATAACAACAAGTACTGTTCATGAATAATTTTCATGTCGATTGATGTCATGCGACTAGTAGGTTTAAGAAGATATTAGACCTCTCGTATAACTTCCTATTTTATAATTTAGCTTGTCTAACAATTATGGTCGAAACATACAGACACAATAATGGTTTATTAGAAAATGTGTGCAATACACTGGCCGCTAAATTTTAAACCAATCTAATGTTGGATTGTGATTTACTTAATGTAAATATTGTCTAAGGAACACCCCTTCCCTCTATAAAATGTGCAAATAATTTGAAATGAACGCTTTTAAACCTACCTAAAACAGGCAAATGGTTTGTATAATACGTCTGCCCGATCCCCGGGGTCAGGTACTTCAGGTCAACCTGACCCTTATGACCCACACGATATTTATAGACGCGGGTCGACAGGGACCAAGTCACGGTTGCAATGCCCCGCCCACTGTCATTGTCTGAATTAATGATTTCTTCCACCTTTCCTTTTGTGCCCTCGGTCCCTGTGGAAGAAAAAAGCCATACATTTAAAGAAATAGCATTTTGATATTGTGCGAGAGGGAGGAGTGGTATTCAAATATTGTGAAGTCAAAAGAAAAATTGTAAGTTTATTTTAATTGAATTTTAGCAGCTATACTAGATTTCCTACATTATATGGTTCTTTTAAAATGTAGTAGATATAATAAGTAAATTTGACCTAGTTGATGTGTATTTTTGAATGAAACACCCATTTCATTAATTTGCAAAGTGGTCTTAAAGTATGAATTCTCTGTGTGTGAAATTTTGGTGTTGATTGATGGATGTGTCACTGTGTGAAGTTGGATGATGAATTATTCGATGATGAATTATTTCACAAGACGAAATTGACATTTTACATTACAACACAAAATAACATTTGTATAACAAGAAGAATATGTCGCATGATTAAACCGTAATGTGACATTAATTTTGCGATGGTATATTAATGTGTGACAGATACACATAAACATTAAAAATATAAAAACCTTTAAAATAACACACTATTGTCCACCACTTTTTACCCATTTTTAGTTTTAAAAATGTTGAATAAATTTTCAGTACTCATTTAACATCTAATAACATTAAAAATATATATTCTTGCACTGCCATTGAAGAAAAACGTACCTAGAAACTTTAAACGAAAGCACTGCATTAGGATTGGGTGAAAATTGAGTTACAAGATCTGACACAAAACCGTTAAACGGACGTGGTGAACTAGGTTAAAGCTTTGTAAATGTCCCGACCCCCCAGATTCTCACCGTCCTGTTCACCATACTCCCAGTTCAACCCTCGAACAACCGTGGCGCCTTTAAATATACCACGTGACTGGACTCGTTTGTCTGAGCTAGATGACCTGGATGGCACCAGCACGCTGGGGAAATACAAGTCATTTTATTACAACAGTCAAATACACATTTACTATTTAGAGATCAACTTAAAGAGTTGTATCTTTTACATTTTTTAAAATAAAATCATAAAACGCCGTTTGCCATTTGTTTTATTATCTAATTTAAAAATGGTTCCCAAACAAATGCGAAAACAGAAAAATGCGCAAAGGAAATTGCGAAAACAGGAAAATATGCAATTTAATTATGCTACAATGTACGTATGGTTACTCTTTGGTAATTTCCATAAATGCTTGATTTAAGAAAACAAAAATACTTTGCGCATTTTATAGTGCACATTTTTTCGTTGCGCGATTTTCCGTTTCGCATCTTTTCGGTCGACGGTTTAATTATTTATGTGGCACAAAATACTTCAATTTCTGTACCATACTAACGCACGTATGAACTAACTTAAGAGTATACAACATATACAGAGGCGACCTTCCCGGCGCCCGGGGACAAACTTTCAATTTGCAGCCCCCCCCCCCCCTCAAACTTGCAATTTGTTTTTCCAACCCATTTTGGCGCCCCCTAAGGTCGGCGCCTGATGACATATCTACCCCCCCCCCCACCCTTGCTACGCCTCTGAACATATACACACGCATCTGACTGACTTAAGAGTAGAGTACAATACCTGCGATCGTCTGGTCTGGCTATCCTAATAAACCTGTGGTCCTTAGAATGTTTGTCATTCAGGTAACACACAGTGCACAGGTCAAAGTCGGTGCACACGGAACATTTCCAGCGGATGCCCCGAACACCTTCTGTTTTGCATTCATCACAGGTGATATGGGCATGTCTAACACCTTTGGTGTACCAGAAATAAATTGTTATTTGAAACTATTCAATTTCAACCCTAAATAAAACAATATCCAACACAATCGTGCGCTAATCAAGTCTATCTGTAATTCAAGTTTTAAAGGAGAACAACTAAGAAATACCGAACACAGAAAACAAGAAGAGTAACATGAACAAAAAGATAAATTATAAAACGTTTTTTCTGATCTTATTATATGTGTGTGTTTTGTATGTCTGTTGTTATTTTTTTTGTTATCTCTTACGAGAAATGTCATTTAACTTAATTACGTATTATTTGAGTACGATAAAAATCAAACGGAAATAAAAATCAAGAGGGGTCGGCGTGGTCGAGTCGGTAAAGCTCATGGTTGCTAAACCGAAAAGTCTCGAGTTCGAACCCTCGGGCAGATGAGGCTCGTTAGCTGGGGACAGCCACTCCTCATGCAAAATTAAACAACTGCTGCCTTGCGCATAACCAGTTGACACGTAACGCTTAATTGTGTTGGAGGCGTGGTCGAGTCGGCAAAAAGCTCATGGTTGATAAATTCGAACAAAGTCTCGAGTTCAAACCCACTGGCAGATAAATCTCGATCCCCTTCAACACTAAAAATTAAGAACGAAGAAGAAGAAGGGCTGGTAAGTAGGTCACCAAACAGTTCTACTGTTCAATAAAACCTGCATGGGCAATTGGTTGGGGTGTCCGGCCATAAACTCCTTGAACTAAAACCTACTGGACAACCCCCCCCCCCCCCCCGACTTAAACCTCCTGAACATAACCTGTATTTTTCTGTATATGTTTTGGTGGAAAAAGCATCCTTTTACCTCACACTCTGGAAATACCCTTTCAACACTTTTTATCACAGCAAATTTAAAAGTCAATCATAATAGAAATTGGTTGCAGGTTTGTATTCATGACCGTTAGTTGCTGTAAGAGTGCTGTTTATGTTTCCTGTGTTTTTTTAAAGTAAAGCATAAACACATGGAACAGTCCCTCCCATTGACCAATGCATGGACTGTGTACAGTTGTGAAACAATGCAGGAGCTGTTTTGAATGTACCATCCATAAAACAGTGCCGAATAAACTCCAATAACATAAGGTTGTCCTTAGCTCCAAACAAAAACATCCTACTTTTGACTCAATACCAGAATCGTTAGTCGTTAAAAATTACATAAAGTTATTTAAAAAAAAAATATTTGGTTCTCATCAACATTATTATTTCCCTATATAAACCTTAGTCGGGGGGGGGGGGGGGGGGTTGTCCAGTGGGTTTATGTCGCGAGGGCGGGTTTATGTCCAGGGGGTTTATGTCCAGGGGTTTTTTGACCGGGAGCCACTGGTTTGTGACCTACTTACCAGCCCTATTATAAAGGGCTCACTCACCGGAAGGGGCGTTGTCGAAAACCAGCAGATCAAACTTGTCGTTGATGCCAATCCTGTACATGTTCTTTTGACCGTTGTCCCACACCACGTCGACCGTTTGCTCCGGTTTTCCCGAGCCCCCACCGTTGACCTTAACCACGGTGCCCACGTGACCCACGCCCCCGTCCTGGTTCTGCCAGCTCCAGTCTGGCCCCCTGACCACTCGGGTGCCGACAATCTCGTCTGCTGAGCTATCTGTCGTTTGCTGGGTGTGAGAGGAGGTGGAGGGGTAGAGATGGAAATACATTTCTTGAATTTATTGAATAAGCTTTAGAAGCTAGATGCAGAAATGTTTTAACTAAGCAAAACATCATCAACCGAAGTCCTAATTTGTAAGTTTAACAGCATATTAATTATATTAAAAATTTAATTGTATTCAACTTTATTTAAATAAATAACCATTTAACAAAAGATCTTGGTACGAAATCTATCGTAATGACTATCAACGTCCGTCACCCCGAGTGTTTCTTTCAGACTTTTTTCTCCGAGGGGTAGGGGGGGGGACTGAAATTTTTTGTGGGCGCGGCACTGGTAAAAGTATATGTTTTCTATATAAATTTCATTTTGTACGGGGAAGGAGGGGGGCGGTAGACTTTCTGAGAAAGAGATGCCTCGAAGAAACACTGGTGTGTCCCCCCCCCCCTCTAACAACCTTTTAATCTGTCCGCATTTGTTAGTTATTTTATTTTCTCCATGAAACTTGACATGCAGCTAACCTGCTAAGAAACTTTAACTTGGAATTAGAACTAGCGGGTATGTTAAGTCAAAGTTCTCTATATGGTTTAGACTCCTGGTAAGATTAGCGTTAGTGCCAGACAACCAAGTCAGTTATAGAATGATACATAGCCACGACCAGGTTTGAAAACTACCGAACGGGTATGTGGAGCAAATAAGTACCAGCTCCCTGAGTGCGCCCAGCATTTGATGCATCATGAACATCTTATGCATGGGTCCCAGCAGACTTTCTCCCAGCAGCCCGCGGGCTAGCACGGACGCCAAGAGGTCATCCATTTTCTTTTCTTTGATTTTTCCTGTCATACACACAAAAATAAAACATTTTTAATTTCTTGAAAAAATAAGAACAAAATAATATTGCGCAATTGAAAAAAAATATCATATTTTAAGTAGCTTTAGTTATACCTTTAATAATACACAGCAAAATAAGTTTTCATATTTATTTCAGAATTTACAAATTACCTAAGATAGTTAACTTTAGACATTTATATTGTAAGATAGTTAAGTTTAGAATTTTATATTACTTAGCATTTTAATTACATTAATTGGATCTATAACATTAATTATATTGAATACACACATAATTCAGTTTATAACTTCATAAAAATCATAGTAATTTTTCTTCATTGTTATTGGCACTAAAATCTGAAAAAAAGTTTTACTTAAAATAATAATCATTAAAAAAGTTTAAAAAAACCCACGTTTTCTGAAAATGATAACATACCTAGTACAGGTAGATGATCCTTGTAGTAACTCCCACCCTTTGACGGCTTAATACACCTGAGGTCCATGGATCCATTATGTCCGAGTCTGTAGTTGTTGATAGATCTAGAGGGCCACAGGACCGTGGCCTTGCTACGGAATGAGTCCTCCCCCCAGTCGTCAATGTTGAGTATCATTCCCTCGGTGCCTGACCCACCTATAGAGGGATAGGTGTACTTCGATACATTTGTGCACTAGTTCTACGATGCACAATAGGTGAACAGATGACTTACGATAGGAGATGCACTTAAATGATTTAAGATATGTAAACGTAGATATAGGACTCACAATTAGATGCACTTAGATAACTTACTATAGGGAGAGGATTTACATTTAGATGCACTTACATAACTTAAGATAGGCGCACGGAAATAGAGGACTTACATTTGGATGCAGTTAGATGACTTAAGAAAAGTGCTCGTAGATAGACGACTTATACTCCGATATAGTAATGTGTAACTTATACTACATCTATATCGTGCAATTGGTGCTCCTAGAAGAAATACTTTTTAACATAAACGGGGTCCTTCGGGGAGATAAAGTAGAGTTCATCTGATTCATCTAATTGGTGACCTCTGTTTTATTCGCAGTCTCATAACTTTTACCACCACAAGTCAAGTACCCATCAGAGCTGGGAAGACAAGGCTTTAAGCCCCGGATCCGAACTCGAGCAAGCAGATGTGCGCTCTACTACCCGACCACACAGTCCCATACAACAATAAATATAACTACTACCAATTTAAAAGCCTACTATAACCATAAGCATGACAATTACAAGTGAACAGACCCACCCCCCCTCACCGTCCACAGTTCCCCCAGAACCCCACCCAATGTACTTACCATCCTGGTTCTCCCACACCCACACCCACCTCCACACCCCACCCAATGTACTTACAATCCTGGTTCCCCCTACACCCCCACCCTATGTACTCACCATCCTGGTTCCCCCACCTCCAATCACACCCCCTACACACTGTCGCCCCCACAAAGAGTCCCATGGCTGTTTTCTTTTCCTTGCTGTTGCATCGTTTTCCCACAACAACCCTGAAGACGTATAAAAACATCAGCAATGGTTAAGTTCTTAGGACAAGAGGTGGTACATCTATACAGCTAGTCGTTGTGCTTTCTAGTAAAACATAGAGGTCTAACTAAAACAGTGTTCAAATCTTGTTCTTGCACTTTTAAATTACATTCCTTCTCACCATTCATATCTGGGACTTTAAAATCACACAAGGACAAAAGTTGTCCGTTTTATATGGGTCTGCACAATCTTATTAGGTCAAACATTGTAAATCTGGGTGATTACAATCATACATCGACACGACTGTGAAATCTTAGAATTTCAAGCTCACTCGTCAGATGCGGCACTGTAGAATCTTATATTGGGATTGTACAATCATTTAAGGACAGGAAATATTCGACCAGGGTCTTTACAATCATTCTAGCACTAGACACATCCCATATGGGACCATACAATCACACAAAACCACCCATAAGATCAGTGAATGCACAAACACACAAGACGCACTATTCAGATCTGGGAATGTACAATCACACCAGTTCAAGACTCACCATACAATCACACAAGACTCACCCATCCGATCTTGGGCTGCACAAGCGCTGAAACTCGTGTCTGACGTCATGTTTGTCCGCCATGTAACACCGGCTGCAGAGGTCAAAGTTGACGCAGTCAGTGCACTTCCAGCGCAGCCCCGTGATGAGTCGTTCACATGCGTCACAGCCAACACGGGGGTGTTTCACACCTGGGGGTCAAGGTCATTTCATTTATCTGTCAATTTACTTGTACACTCGTAGGTTACATTTATCACTATTTTTGCGAATTACTTAGTTATTAAACAGAAACGAAGATAGAGTTGTGTCAATGCGATCTAACGGTGTAAGGCAACATTAATATTTTACAGCCAATGCCCAAGACAGTTAAGGCAGATGAAGTAGAGTTCGTCTGTTTAAATGATCTTTGCATGAAAAAAAAAACATAAGCTGGCCAGTAATATGCCCAGCCACCTAAGTTTTCCCTAACGTGAGACAAGTAACACCAGAGCAGGGGGGGGGGAGGGCGGGGCTCAGAGAAGTCATATAAACTAGATTTCGGGATCTGAACTCGAGAATTGGATTACTCAAAGTAACAAGTTCTATACCTATCCTGTAGGTAGATTTTAGGTCAACAGGTCTGACACGCCCCAATCCGCACCTCCACACTAACACCACCTTATCCCCAGCAACTACCAAAAAAGTTAACTCGAGCAATATCCGGTGATAAGGAAAACCTACCCGGTGAAAATAGACGGTCATAGCATTGAAAAGGAAGTGAGAAAAGTTCCGAGGTGCTTTTAGCGTAAGGTTTGCCAGACATTGGTGTTCTGTTCATGTCTGTTATGTGTGTGTGTGTGTGTGTAAATGTGTGTTTGTGTGTCTGCCTGTGTGTCTGCGTGTGTGTGTTTGTGTGTGTGTGAGAGAGAGTGTAAGGGAGTTTACTGAGTAGAGAAAAAATTATTAAGATTAACTTATAAATATGTATTGTGGCTAACAGCTGTAGATACGTAACAGAAGGCTATCCTGAGCGTGTCACCTTTCTCTCAGTAGTTCTGTGTGTGCATATGTCACCTTTTCCCCTGCAGTTCACCATATGCATGTGTCACCTTTGTCATACTACATCTTTTATTTCAAGTGTGACCGCTCACATATTTCTTATGGCGTTACATTTGTGTCACCTTTTCACATCAAGTGTTAGGTTACATCACCTTTCTCATGTAACATATAACGTCACAAGTGTGTCACATTTCTCATGTAACATCTAACGTCACATGTGTGTCACATTTCTCCTGTAACATCTAACGTCACAGGTGTGTCACCATTCTCATGTAACATCTAACTTCGCAGGTGTGTCACCTTTCTCGTGTAACATCTAATGTCACAGTTTTGTCACGTTTCTCATGTAACATCTAACGTCACAGGTGTGTCACCTTTCTCATGTAACATATAACGTCACAGGTGTGCCACCTTTCTCATGTAACATCTAACGTCACAGGTGTGTCACCTTTTGTCATATAACATCTAACGTCACAGGTGTGTCACCTTTCTCATGTAACATCTAACGTCACAGGTGTGTCACCTTTCTCATGTAACATCTAACGTCACAGGCGTGTCACCTTTCTCATGTAACATCTAACGTCATAGGTGTGTCACCTTTTATCATGTACCATCTAACGTTACAGGTGTGTCACCTTTCTCATGTAACATCTAACGTCACAGGTGTGTCACCGTTTGTCATGTAACATATAACGTCACAGGGGTGTCACCTTTATCATGTAACATCTAACGTCACAGGTGTGTCACCTTTTGTCATGTAACATATAACGTCACAGGTGTGTCACCTTTTGTCATTTAACATCTAACGTCACAGGTGTGTCACCTTTCTCATGTAACATCTAACGTCACAGGTGTGTCACCTTTTGTCATGTAACATCTAACGTCACAGATGTGTCACCTTTCTCTTGTAACATCTAACGTCACAGGTGTATCACCTTTCTCTTGTAACATATAACGTCACAGGTGTGTCACCTTTCTCATGTAACATCTAACGTGCTGGGTGGTGACTAATGTGTCACCCTTATCTTATTAAAAATGGATTTTAGAAAAAAAAACATCTCTCTACACGGACTATAAATTTAAAAACAAACACAGACAAACACACGGCCTAGTTTGAATACAAGTTTGGCTGTGTTCCAAAAAACGTAGATTATCGGCTTTCCTAGGAAACGCTACTGCATCTAGGAAGTACATCGATACACAGTCTAGCGAGGTGACGTGTGATGCAGTCATGCGTGTAGCTAAAATAGGTCTATAGTTAGTAGTGTTATTGTTGTGTAGAATGTATAGTTGTGTCTAAAGTATGGCATGATGTTAAAATTGCTAGGTGTTTGTTATGTTAGTCATTTATTTACGTTATAGGCCTCATTGACTTTAGATTTGTACATACAAAATATTATACTTGAATATACGTATGGCTTCCGGATTTGTATTTATTAGAAAAATGCTTCATATATATATATATATATATATATATATATATATATATATATATATATATATATATATATAAAACTGCTTTTTAAATTTCTTTTGTTAGTAGTATGCGAGTGTTATAATTGTGTAACCGGTACCACTCCGCCCACCACCACCACCACACTCCCCACGAAAGTTTCAAATATCCCCCTCCCTAGGAGAATAAAGTATGAAGAATGCCAAGAATAGGTAATTGTATACCACATTTAATTGAATTATTACCCTGCTATATAATGATAAGGTCTCGGCAATTTGTTTTGTTTGAGGCTTCCCGGTTCTTTTTTTTAAGGAGCAAACAGCACATTCGATGTTTTTTCTACAAGTATTTGTTTGTTTGTCACGGTTAGGATTAGAGTTGGGACACTGTGATAATGGTTAGATCCGGGTTAGTTTAAGAATAGCTTACCACAGATGCCGTTGTCTAGGACCATCAGATCAAAGCACCCCTCATGCCCCGCCCTGTAGGTTTTCCTGATCCCCGAGTCCCACAACACGACCACACAGTCGTCTGGGACAGAGGTCGAGTCTTCTCCCAACTCGACCACAGTGCCGACATGACCCTCTCCGCCATCTTGCTCGCCATATTTCCAGTCGGGTCCACGGACAACCCGTAGACCAACCTCCATGTGTAGGGCTGTTTCTGGCTATTAAATATGCCTACATTAGAGAACAAACAAAAAATTAGACCATATTTTGTTTACATTTTTCATGGTTAACTTGTTGGCCTATATGTATTTGAGTTTTAGTAAATCAATTAATTCGTGTCAAGTTGAATAATTAGGAATGGGTAGTGGGAATCACTATGCCTCTTGTACCTTGACTGTTAACTAAATAGACAAAAGTATATAGAAACAATTATATATATATATATATATATATATATATATATATATATATAATATTTAGATATATATATATATATATATATATATATATATATATATATATATATATATATATATATATATATATATATATAGAGAGAGAGAGAGAGAGAGAGAGAGAGAGAGAGAGAGGGAGAGAATATATATACATACCATACATATATATATATATATATACACTTTATTTCTTCAACATCTACCCAAATGTCTAGAAGTACACTCACACTCTAGGCCATTGCACAAGCACAAGTGCAGTAGAACAGTAGTTGGTGGGATAGTTAAATGTGTTCAGCTTGCAATATATCCTATGGCAACTAGCGCTATGTCCTTTACCTGTTGGCGTATTGCCGTTGTACCACACCTACTACACTAGGGTTAGCTAATGACGATTGTAAAAGAAAGTAATATACGTCCTCTGTGTCTGACAATGTTTTACAGCTTTTTTTTACGTTTATATAGTTGTACCCATGTGTAGTTCTAGCTAGCTATTGAGGTTGGTTAGTTTTGGTATAATCAGCATGAGGTTGTAGGCGGCACCTTCGAAAATGCCACAGTAGTTTAGTTCCTCCCATAGAAGTTAAGTACCTCCCATGTCGCAACACTTGTTTATTACCTAGTATAGTGCTATCGTGAGTCAATGTACTTTAGCGCCCATAAAAAAAAAAATCTTGAACACAATATTTAAACAACATCCATCCATATGCCCTTTTCAGCGTTTAACTTTAAGCTGAACAGCAGAGTACGAACTTGAAGATCAGTACAAAAAACGCAAAAAAATACATTCTAATTTATTGCTTTGAAATAATGTAATCTAATTAATACCATATTAATAAAGTTATTTTTATTTAAATAATCAACTGTACCTTGTTAGAGTATATCCCTCTTTACCTCGATTTTCCCCTATCCTCCTTATGTGCTGGAATTAGCCATACAACCTAGATAACAATTCCCAGCAATGGCAATGCCCATATCCTCAATTTTCTAGATAAAGCTAAAAATAGGTTCGGAAATTACTGCTTTTACATAGGGCAACACACTTTCATTGATACGTTATTGTAGACCTTTAATGTCTCTAAATTGTATATGTGTATATTGTTTAAGAATCTTATACATATTGTCTAACAATAAATTCATGTTTTTTTTTCATTTTGATCTATTTTTAGAAAGACTAACAAAAAAAATAATTGTTAATTTTTATTATTATTTTTCTTGCACAGCACATTTTAAAGGCTATAGGGCATTTATAGTGTTAAGATAGTTTCGAAGAAATGAAAAGCATAACATTAGGACATGGTTACTTGTATTGGTTCTAGATATATGACTAAATACACATAAAAAAGCATAAATGCATTTATTTATACATGACAGCCTGAACGATTTGTGCTTGGATTAGCAGTTATATTGTATTGTGTGTGTAACTTTGTAAACGACACCCTTATTTTAATTAAAAAATGGCTTCAAACTGCTGTTATTTTTGTTTAATAGAACACACCCAGGTCTTGTTTACGCTGTGAATGTGCTCGTAACAGTTTAGATGGTCATGTTATAAAGTTTTAGTTTTCCTAATTAAACACTCTAGGCCAGCTGAAGTACTTCTTCTTCTTCTACGTTTTTAATTTTAATTAACTATACATGTCAATTGGTTGTGCACCATTGGAGCCATTTACTCTGATTTATTGGCTTTGCTTCCTTAGCCTTTGTCCTACCTAGAAGAGTGACTGTCCCCAGTTAATGAACCTCATCTGCCCGAGTGTTCGAACTCGAGACTTTTCTAGACTTTAGCAATCATGAGCTTTACCGACTCGACCACGCCGAAGCACTAACGTTAGCTGTTTCATAAATAATCAGTGCAGGCTATATGTTTCACCATCTAACCGCTATCATCACGTTTAAGCAATATTCATTATACAACCTCCCACAATTACAACTCATTATCCTACATTTCAAAATCTAACTTTAAACACCCAACTTTTACTGAAACATCCAGCTGATATTTAACGACACAACTCATCTTTTACTCTACTCGAAACACAACGTCTTAGACTTCCACCACATAAACTTAACTAGGCTATAACAACATAAATTACGGATAATCCCTAAAATATGTTACATTTTATTTTGTATATAATAAAACACTGCTGTGCAAATGACTACAATGCATATGGATACGTACATTTGTTTAAACTATCAATTTTTTTATAATATAACGGTGTGAAAGATGACCACGTTAGATAAATAACTCAATAGAAAACACTGGATACTTGACGATTTGATCACGGGCCTAATTTTATAAGTGTATCCTAATTTCAGACGACACACTGCATGTTTTATTGTTCATTGTTTTCGACTTACATTTATAGTTGTAGTAGTCATTGTAATCTGTTTCCTCTTTGCATTGAAAGTTGTTCATGCTAGCGGTAGGTGGCTTGAATAAATAACGAAAACAGTAACTGTGAATATTCATGAATCGACGGCGTGTGTTTACATCCTAGGCTAAAGAAGACTGCTAGATCTAAACCTAGACGTGGGTAGATCACAATCGTGAGGTTCTAATATTACAAATGAGACATCTTGTATCAGGGTTTCATGTTTCATTATTGTAAAGAATGAAGTAAATACTTAATGTCACACACTGCTAGTTTTTTTGTTGTTTATTTTCATTATATTTTCATTCAGCTTTACAGAAAATCTGTTTGAACTTTGACTTATACTTGACTAATTAATGCGTTAGGGATATGCTTACCTCCCGTTTATACCTTGAGTAAGAAATGGAATACTAGTATAAGTTTGTATTGTAACAATAGTAAAGATTAGGTTTATAAAAGTTGTTCTTCTTCTTCTTCGTTCCTAATTTTAGAGTTGGAAGGGATCTTCTCCAACCCAATTAATTATACGTGTCAACTGGTTATGCGCCATTTAGGCCAATGACTCCAATTTCAGCCTGCTTTTCTTTTTGGATTTTCTTCCATAGCCTTTGTCCAACCAAGAATAAACTACAAGGCAGCAGTTGTTTGATTTTGGAGTTGTCGCTCCTAGAAGAGTGGCTGTCCCCAGCTAACGAGCCTCATTTGCCCGGGATAAAAGTAGTAAATTTAAGAATTTTCTTATTTACTTACAATCTTACAGAAAATCTTTTTGAATGTTGACTGATACTTGACTAATTAATGCGTTTAGGATCTGCTTATTTCCTGATTATACCTTGAGTAGGAATTGGAATACTAGTATAAGTTTGTAGTGTACCAATAGTAAAGATCTATATATATAATTCTCCTCTTCGATCCGTTAGAAAACAAGCTGCAAACGCTCTCCCTACCTCCCCACCCCTACATGGTTTTAGTGAGCTGTGTTCACTCTAAATGTTTACAAGCAGAGCCAACGATTTTAAACGCAGGGGGGGGGGGGGAGGGGGGGGGGGAAGGAAGGGGGGGGGTTATGGTCCTTAACGAGCTACTTATAGTGTTTTAAAGAAATATTTTCAGTGTCAGCGTTGGTACTGTCGAATTCACAAATTATGAATTATTGAAAATTAGAAACAACTAAATAGCGGCGTATGTTATGCCGCGGGCCGGTTCGTTATGTTTATAAAAGTAGTAAATCTAAGAATTTTCTTATTTACATTCAGCCTTACAGAAAATCTGTTTGAACGTTGACTGATACTTGGCGCTCATGTTATAATAAATAAAAATATTGACCGAGCTATGCGCAGCTTCAAATGTAATGATGACAGAACAGACGGTGATGAAGACGTTATAGTTAGGCCCAGTTAGACCAAACTTCCAGCCGTAGACCAGCTCACACAGGAAGCTGGCACAGCTGGGTGACACGCACGCGACAAACACACACAAGATGGCCAGCACCATCTTGACCAGCTTCTTCTCTCGGACAGACAGGCGGTCACTGGTGCCAGAGGACGTGGACTCCAGCCTCCACTTCCACTTGACCTGCATCTGTCTGACAATGACCAGCGTGGACAGCAGGTCGATGAAGATGGAACTGAACTGGGCTGACACGCTGAAGTTGTGACCAATGCTGTCCGTGTAGTAGACGCTCTCTTTACTAAAACTTCGGACGATTCTGGTCTTGTTGGTTTGAAGGTCAAGGACGCTGGTCAAGGAACTCCCGATGTAGAAGGGAGACATGCCTAGGAAAACGCAGACGTAGATCAGCGCCATGGCCGCGACGGTTCTGGACGCGGTGATGACGTGTTTGACCTTGAGGGGCATGGTGACACACAGACATCTCTCTATGGTGATGAAACTGGTGATCAGCCAGCTGACTCGGACAAACATGGCGTGTGGGACCACTGTGTGGGGATAAACAAGAAGTTCGACTACACAAGTGTTGTGTGTGAGATAACTGTGTGGGGATAAACAGGAAGTTAGTCTACACAAACGTGGTGTGTGGGATAACTGTGTGGGGATAAACAGGAAGTTAGACTACACAAACGTGGTGTGAGGAACGGCAGTGTGTGGGAAGGGGTGTAGATAGAACAATAATTTAAACAAGTGTACAATTTATATCAACTTTACTAATATTTATGTTTTGTTACACACACGCACACACACACAAACACACATATATATATATATATATATATATATATATATATATATATATATATATATATATATATATATATATATATAAAGAGAAAGAGAAAGAGAAAGAGAAAGAGAAAGAGAAAGAGAAAGAGAAAGAGAAAGAGAAAGAGAAAGAGAAAGAGTCAGAGAAAGAAAGGAAGGACCTTCTTCACGTTTGAAATGACCTACTTGCTGTCAAGTAGCTGACGTCACCCAAGCTCATTGGGATGTCCGGCCATGCTGCTGCCAAGATCGCTGTGATCCCTTTCCATATCAAGGTCACGAGACTGCCAAGGTCAGACACGGCCAGAGCCAAGAAGCTGATGTTCACTGTGTCCTGGAACCCCTGTTAAGAAAAGTTGGATTAGAAAGGACATCTGGTACTAGTGATGTAGGCCTCGCTGCCATCTTGCTTTAAAGAATGGCAACCGGGGATTTTCGCTATTGCAAAATTTGTCGATTATCTTCCTTACTGCAATACCTAGTGAGAACATGAGATACAGCAGTATTTAACTTAAATATTTAACTTAAACAGCGTCGGGTGAATATAATGAAAATAATGAAATGGCGTTTTGTTCGGTTAAAAAAGCTCGTTTATTAGTAGGTTACCTTCTATCTTAATTAAATTTCTTGGTAGCACCTTAAATGGTGAATAAATGAGATTGTTAAAATAATGATTTAAAAAAACTAGAGCTTACCTTATCTTTCTTATATATATATATATATATATATATATATATATATATATATATATATATATATATATATATATATATATATATATATATATATATATATATATACTTAGTTTATAACACTTGATATATTGAGTAGTATATCTATTCAGACCAGGTACATTCAGACCTGTAACTGATACTAGAACATAGAAGTTTTAGATCATCTTGATATTTTTAACACGAACTATTTGAATAAAATTTCTTTGTTACAAAAATACCAGAGTCTGGATTAAAATAAGAAGTATCTGTTCTTTATTGTTACAAATATATTTGTGGGGGGAAACAAAACATTAATATCAAATACATTGTCTTTAAGGTGAGCGCTACAAAAATGGTAAATTTAGCTCGTGTCGTTTATAGATGTGGTTTCTTGGGCTCGCAACTACACAGGACAACATTAAAATTTAAAGGCATGCAGGGATTACCCGTGGAGTCTATGGTCTTACCTGTTTAGTAAACACAAGGATGTTGATTATGTTGCCTATTGATCCAAGGGTACTAATCGTGTTAATGATAAAGGCGAAAAACAATACATCGACTACCTCCCTTTGCTGATCAGTCATAAGGGGAACTAATTGCTCAGCGCTTGAGTTGGCCATTGCTCGAAAAATTTATAGAGCCTTATAACGTTTTATCGTAGGTTATATCAGACCTAGTTCAAATAATTCACTTGTGGCTTGATACGTTTTGTCGTAGGTTACTTTAGACCTAGTCCAAATAATCTACTAGGGGCTTTAAATATTAGTTGTAGATTTCTAGAAACAGTATTAAATCTTATAAGTTGATTGTTGTATAAAAAGTTCATGACAGTTCCATTTTGGTTACCATCAGCTTTCCCACGTATTGAATCCTTTGGTATTCAATTTCCAATTTTTGTATAATCATATACATGACATCATGTAAAATTCATTATGTTCATTTGCAAAACCTTTCGTTATGCAAAAACTATGTAAAAGAAATTGATGTTGATGTACTTGTTTTAATTGCGAATAAAAGTATTTAAAAAAAAAAAAAAATTCAATTTAAAAAAGATCTAGTAGCTAATTTGTATTTCATACTAGGTAGGCCTATAGTCTAAACCTTTTGTTGCAAATGTAAATAGAAACATACATTTCTGTGGTTTTCAATAGACTGTAAAGACTGTGAGGTATAAATAACTTAGTTTTGTTTGCACTGTGTCTTAATCGCTCCCTAAACTCTTTGAAGACTAGAGTCTTTTATAACAATGCATTTAAAATCTGTATTCATAGTGAAATCATCAATTGAGTTTCAATTCAATACATAGTCTTAGAACAAATGGGATTTCGATTTACAACATTATTTCTACAAACAAATTGTTGAAATTTGAAGCCATATTTTAATATTAAATTCTACTGAACAATAGTTTCGTATAAAACTCATATTCAATAACTTAATATTTGTTATAGTTTTAGCCAATTGTTTGGTTGTTGATAAACATAATCTACCACAACAAGCACAAAATACTTGTAGATTCTGTAAATTAGGTTTAGTTTAAATCAATGCAGTTTTATTATACCGAGAAACAAACCAATTACAGTTCATTGTTCTGTCTTATCGTATAATCAATCCCTTGAGGGTATTAATGATTGATGAAATACGATGGTTAAGAAAATAACGCTGTTGTTTGTATATGGTGTAGACCTACAGGACGAATAACATGATGTCCCAGGGCAAAAGATAAAACATTTACTCCAGCACTAAATGTAGATATAGCTTGCTTGTGGTAATGACTGAGCGAAATCAATTACTTCGGGGGAAAAACATTGTGTGGTAAAATTATCTTACAAGAAAAGGGGGAATATGGTCACTTTTCATTGTTGTTTTTTATTTAGTTTTTTTTAAAATTTATTTAAATTTATTTTTTATTTATTCGAGATAGGGATGGTTTGTAAGCAGTTTAATATTTTAAAATGTTTTACAGGATTTATCCTTTTTTTTAAAGTGTTCTTGTTCATTTGTCGTATTAATAAGCTCATAGAACTGGCTTACATACCATTTGTTCACAGATAATGTGTTGGGTGATTCAGCTCATAAAACGGAGCTACACATTTATTCTTCTAACATAAACTCTAGTTTATTTTGTAAATTAAATACATCTTGTCATATATTTTTTTTTACTTAAAAAAGGGTGTAGGAATTATGCAAGTTACTTTAAAAGTTTTAGTCTGAAGGATTATGACGGCTATGTATGGCTGATGTTTTTGTCATTAGACTTTAGACCTATACAGTTTTCCTGAAGATATGCATTACTTATGAACAAAGCGAATATTACATACGCATCCAACTGCACATGTATTTATAATGAGGATACTAGATGTAACACAAAATCTACCTATTTAAAAAAAAATAGAAAAAATAATGGATAGAATGTGTTTGACTATAACAGTGCCCAACATTACCTTTACATACATACCCTATGTCATATTTTAGTTAAGTAAATATAAATAACAAATGTTGAGGTCAATTATTTTGAATTGCTGTGTGAAATAATCTGAAGACATAATGGGGCATGAGTGCTTACATAAACTCAACTAAAGATAGTCACCCACAAAAAAGATTACAGCAGAGAGATGTAGCAGTAGCCTAGTGCTCAGGATTCACAGTATTAGGTTAACGAACCGACAGATTTTCAAAACTAAAGCATAGACATAGTTCCTAACTTACGTGATTTCATGTGTATGAAAGGTGTGTATGTTGGACAGATCACGGCATGGTAGTGTGTACCGTGGTATTGTTGCGCGAGGGCGGTTGTGTTGACATGGAACTTATTGTACAAAAGGATAACAAAAGAAGCGATTGGTCGAGTGACAGCTGTTGTGTGGTAAACAAGAGGAAGGAGCTGGGTGTGTAATCAATGTGGGATCGGCAGTAGAAGATCACCATTAGAAGTGACAGGTAACGTGGTTGTGATGAGGAACATCCAAATGGATGATGTTGAACAAAGTTGAACCTCAAAGAATGTATGAAGGTGTGTCCATTTAGGTGTCGTTAGGAAGTTCCAACACCCCCCGCCGACAGTACATACATATATTTATGTGTGTATATATATATATATATATATATATATATATATATATATATAAATATATATATATATATATATATATATATATATATGAACTGAACTGAACTTTCCTACAAACAATATTTAAATTTAACTCTTAAACTAAACATTAGATTATTTTAGATCAATGGTTCATTTTTATATTAATTGTTAATTATACACTGTTTATTGGACTATGTATTTGTTAATATTCAGGATGAAAAAAATCAACGAAGAGAAAGTTGTCTTTACAAATTTTATTAACAGATTTAGCACCAACCAAAAACAACATTTTATACAAATTTCTCCTCACCATATATATATATATATATATATATATATATATATATATATATATATATATATATATATATATATATATATATATATATATATATATATATATATATATATATATATATATATATATATATATATATATATATATATATATATATATATATATATATATATATGTATATATATATATGGTTCCATGACAAATGATCTCAGAACAAACGATCTCAGGACAAATTATCTCACGGACAAAAGATACCAGGACCAGTGGCGGAACTAGAAAAAATGGGCCACCCCGCAAAAAATTTTTTTGGGCCCCCCATATATATATATATATATATATATATATATATATATATATATATATATATATATATATATATATATATATATATATATATATATATATATATAACTAGGTTCGCTCTCAATTTAAAAAAAATTCCATCTGGTACACGAATAAATCAGAGGTTTTCCAACACACGAGCTGGCCCCTTTCTAAATCTAGTCCAACACACCAAACTGAGGCTTTCATCGAAACGTTACTAACCGTGTGCCCTGTTTTCCAGAAGTTGAATTAAATGTTAACAATGTCGGCAGTTCATTTCTTGGATCTTAGGGTGCGGGTTTGTCCACACTACCAACTAGACACGCCAAGGCATGCTGTAAATCCCTCTGCGACGGCCCAGGTGTCAGGGGAGTCACGGGGCTCTTGGAGCTACCGGTTACATTACTGCACGGGTGATGGGTGTGACACATTGTTTCTTCCGGCAGAGCTCCCCCCCCCTCCCCTCCCCCGAAAACAGTCTACCCTGGAAGAAACATTGGTGCGACACCTAATTAGATTTAGTCATCGAGTGTTGTAGCGAGACTTATTCCTAGTGTTGTGGGAACTTTTAAACGACTGTCCGTGGGTGCCAACTTGCTCATATGTGATGCGCTCAGGATGACACTGACGCCGGTTGTATTCAAGTAGTAACCTCATCCGCTTATGCAGTTTCACGGGGCGCTAAATCACATATTTCCGTTAGGAGTCCCCACTCAAATATGTACAAATGTTAGGCCTATGACGGAAATCTTTGCGGGGCTGTACTCAACAGCTTCCCAAGTTTTCATGGCGATTGGGTGATGACTGAATGATGCAGTAATGTTTTTCACATGTACAACTGTATGTGGCCAGGTCACGCGTTGTATAACCTTCTGATTTAGGGGAGGGGGGGATTTACAAAAAGCCAGACCCTCACACACCCCCACCTCAATGACTATTAATAATGTTCAATTAATTCTAAACGTTCTAATTAATTTCTAAATAATTATATAAAAAATAATCTTACCTGCCCTGTTTTGTGAATTAGATGTGCCTATTACTATGAAAGTAAATTAATATGTGTTGACTAGATCTAGTGCTGTCTAGTGTCTGACAAAATGTGCTGAAGTGGTGAATCGTACGGTTAGGAAGTAGTTCATAAACGATACATTTATCTCCTCGATACTTGTGAGGTTGAGAAAGAGTGATGGGATAGGGGTCGGCTCGGGAAAAAACTTGAAAGGGACAACAAAACGCCTTGATCTATGTACGTCAGCATCGCCCATTGTAAAACTTACTCGGGGGAGATAATTTGAAGTATAGGCCTTAAAAGTTTACTATATTTCTTGTAAAATCAAAAACAAGTAAACGTATATAAAACTGAAGCTTCTAGTATTATATTATTTTTTAAAAATTATTTGTACGATACAAGATAGTACAGGATACTAATTCAACCACTATCACAAACACATATTAACATTGAAAAATGTACAATGGATTTCGGGTCCCCTACCAATGCCGCAAATAAGAACCGCGCATCATGAAAGTATTGAAATCCCACTTCATATGTAGCGGCTTTTCGTGCTATGGACTTTGTTGTTTTTTTTAAAAAGAATTTCGCCGGCGACAGCGTGTGTTTGATTGTAGGGAAATAGAACTCGGCCTTGACGATGCTTAAAAAATACAACTATAAATAACTGTTTTAAATATGTAAAGAATTTGTCGACAATTTTTAACCCCCTTTTTGGTCCCCATCCCCTGCCCCATCCGCCATAGTATACTTTAAAGGATCGGTCAAACAGTTACGTGTCCTCTATTTAGCTATCAAAGGGAGGGGGGGGGGCAACGAGTCAAAGAAGTCATTCAAAATTTGAAGAGTTGCCTATATTTTACACTGTAGTTTGTGTAATGGATTTTATCTTTTGCGGAAG